GTTCTTCCACAAAACGCCTGATGTAGCCATATCCGCTGGCAGAGATGCTCTTGACTTTTGTTCTTTGATGCACCAACAGAGAAGAGACCAATGGAGATGTGGATAAAGCTTTTAAAAGTTATTTACGGTTATAGATCATTTGTGAGTTTCCCATGAATTGATGGACTGCTTTCATTGTCACCTCATCACTGTTATTGATCACACAAAAGAAAGGTCTGGAACCTCACCTGAGAAACACATGCTTAAATCCCAGTTTTCACATGTGTATCTCATGTTAGATATCAGCTTTTAAGTATTTATCCTTCAATACATTTGTAAATTATACTCAGATGAAAAATGCTCTACTGTATGATGCTTTTCTACAATGTCTATGTTTGCTTCTTGAAGTTTTTATGAACATTTGTAAATGTCTGGGGGGGTTGGGAATTGTTTTTGTTTTTTATTAATCTGTGCTATGGTACTGTACTTTACTGTTCAGTGTTATGTTCATTTTTGTTGGATTTTATTTTGAATGTGCAACTTGTTTAATCTTTATTTATTAGTATTGTTTCATTTATTAAAAGTCTTTTTTTTCCTGATGTATTTGTCTTTGTCTTATTTGTTGCACACTGGTGCACAAAGGGCTGCCCATCTGTTCATTCGCTTCACAGACATTCAGAGAGTAGACACAGCCCTTGAACTTGTGTCAAATGAATGTTACAGCACAATAACACTGTAGACACAAAGAGATGTGGTGCCAGATCCTAGTTATTTTGTATTTTCTTCCAAACAGAAGCTGGATGGCAGCTTGTCATTCCACTTGCTAGAATTTATGAAAGATGCTTTTCACATTACTGTGCCCTTGTGCCCCAAACAATAACAGCACAATGACACGATGCAACCCCATGGGGGGAAGAAGAGCTCTGCCTGCATTCCACACATAGTATCAACATGCATGGAGGTGGACAAAAACAGATCCAGTGTGGAGAGCATACTACTATACACAACTCACTCACTGTCCCTGAAGACAAAATAGGGTGGGAGTTTACAATTAAAAAAGATAAGGATTAAAAGAGGGAGAGAAGCCACAGTAATGCCGTAAAAATGAAATCCAGTATCTGCATCAGCATGCGCCACAGCATCATCACAGCGAGGCAGCGAGGATCCTTTCATCCCAACTTCTCTTTTTTTCGGTGACTGCATCATGGATATGCGAGACACGGAGAGTGCACACTCCTCATTGTTACCAAAGAAATTTCAGAGGGAAAAAAGCCACAGCTGCACGCATACAACTTCAGTTTTATTCAACTGGAGTCCAATGAGCTGCAAGGCTAAAATATGACACTGAGAAGTCTTGAAATTCTTCTTTCATCTTTTGTCGTGAAAGGCCTTTTGTATTTATCTATCCTTTTTATCGGTCTTCTCACTCTGACACTTTTATTTCAACATTTGAACGGCAAAGAAAATATAATAAACAGCCCTAATGCTGCTAAATAAGCTAATATATAATTATTCACCTTCAGCTATTCTACTTTGATGACATTTTCAGCTTTCTTTCCAAACAGATTAGATTCTGATTATTTCTTATCATCCTACAAGGAGTTATTAATGGGTCACTTGTGCCACCTGCAGGCCACACATCACTTCTCATTACTAAGATGGTGTCAACAGACAGTGAAGCAGATCCATGATCAGGATATTTGCTGGAAGATCTGATAACCTCACATTTGTTATATAGACCACATTTATTTATTTATATAAAACATCCCCCTAAACTAACGCTGCATTATCATATATCACATTAAAGGAAATGCTGTATTTAAATATCAAAGTACGACGTTAGTGACAGTCTGAGGCTTGTGCTTGGGGGGGGGGGGTAGGGCCCTGAGCTGTCAAGTTCTCTCTTTTTTTAAACATTGTTCTTCTTCTGTGGTGGACCCAAGGGTTGTGTGAGATGTTGTTACTCTCTCTCTCTCTCACACACACTTTAAGCACAACAGTGGTGAAATGCAGCAAAAATAGTAAGTAGTTCACTTCTCTACAATTAAGATGTTTCATTTTTGGCCTCTTTACACTACATTTCCTACGGCTATATTAATTTAGATTTAATCTAGTTACTTTTTAGTAAACAATGATTTCACTGCTCCAGTTACTTTTTATTTTTAGCTAGCCAGGAAGAGCTGCTTACATGTTAATGCATTAATAATAATACTATTAATGCGTTAAAACACATACATATTTATTTGTATACCTTTTTGTTTTAATAGCCACCTGGTGAATGTTAGTCCAGTTATTCACCCTCTTTATCTTTTTGGTCTCCTGAGAGAGAAATATGTTTAGAGCTTTTTGCCTGAATCAGCGTCGTGCTGCAGCAGGAAACGACCCAATGAGAGCAGTGAGAGTTAACCAAAGTAAAGTTTTGTGCTGGACAGCTGAACAATGATCTGAAATTACCTATACATCTCTGAGAAGCAGAAGAAAGCTGCAGAATCAGGTCATTATTATTAATTAATACCAATGATCCGTTTCACAGTCTCATTCGATTCATTATTATTGTTATTATTATTATTATTATTATTATTATTATATCCAGTAAAGTGCTTTAAATAAAGTATGTTAATACTTATAACCACCGACTGAAACAAACACACACGCAAACACAAAACAGAGCAAGCAGCATCCATACTTTGCTGTCTGCTTCATGTTTTCATACACACAGTGCCCCCTACTGTCCACTTGACATACTGCTCCAACAATCACAGCACAGCAAAGGTAAGGAGGAAAAGTTAGAGCTGATAAAAGATTGTCTTTAATGTTTGGCATCGTTAATGAATTCCATACCACAGCAGTTTATGGGAGTAGGAAAACCACTTTTACAACCAAACACTGTTTGATCATGCTAACACCATATGTACAGGAAAGCACATTGAAAAGTGTATAAAGTATTTATATGAGAAGACTCAAAGTCAAGAACGGTGGAGACAGCCACAGTCTAATGGATTTGTCCTTTTTCAAACACTGATTATAGATATTTATCAATTACACTGATCTCTGGATTACATGTATATACACAAACAACGATAAACCTTTTTTGGGCGTCTGCAATAATTCTCAAAAATATTTCACAATACTGCTGTATGTACAATAACAGAATTTACATTGAAAAATTCTATTGTACCTATATTTTGAGTATCACTTCAGTCACCAGTTATCCTCAGTGCCATCAGGCTCACAAGAGATACTCACATATTGTATATATCTAACCTCAGGTTCATCTCCATACAAAGTACAGCAGCTGATGCAGTACCTGGGCATTCTGTTGTGGTACGGTTTCTGAAATATGTTCACACAACTGATGATCTCACATACAAAAATAGATGTTGTCTAGTCAGCTGACAACTTGATGTACAGTAACACAAAGCATCCACCTGCAAAAAAAGCAACAACCAGGAAAACAAGTAATTGTTAAAATATTAGCTATATCCTTCCAACCCACTATATCGTGATAAACAGCGCTGTTCTCTGCTCCACAAAAAGTAAATCTCTCTTTTCTGTCAGGGCTTCAGCGTTCTTCTGAAACACATCATTAGTTTTCACACAACAGAAGGTGATTGAGAAAGAGCTGCAGGCAGAATAAGAATTATTAGCGCTACAAACCAAACAACAACCTGAAACCAAAGCGGGACGAAACCATACAAAACATCACTAGGTAGATATCTTTTTTTTTCCTTCAGGGAGCGTATAGAGAACCGAATGAAAAGGAGAAGGACTGTCGCTAAATGAGCTTCTCACAGTCCAGATGAGAGGTCAAACTGCATTTGAGTGCACTTAAGGCAGGTAGGCGATTCCAACGCTGTCTGAGTGGGCTCCTTGTCTGGCAGCTCAGTGGGCGGGGGTCTAGACAGTGTCATCAGACGCAACGCAGGACCACTGCTGCTGTCCAGGTTCAGCCCTCACTGCTTTGTAACATGGTCTGACAACCACACAGAGAAGGGTAACGATGGAGGGAGAGAATGCTTTACAGAGTCCAGCAGGAGCTTGAGATGTGGAGAGTTCTCCATCTGGGGAACATGACTAGTTTGGAACCTGTCTGTCAATGTCCTCAGTTTCCCCTCTCCTTCCTCTCCAGATATCTTTGTCACACAAAAGAGACAAATAGAGACTTCTTCAACATAGACTGAACTTAAAGCACTTCAACAAAAACAGCATTGCAGCTTGTGCAATACAAATAGAACATCTCGTCTGAATACATTCACGGAGGTTTCCGTCCGCCAAGGTACGGATGGGAAATTGTCAGTGACTGAAGTTCGTGTCCCTTGAGATGCCGGGCCAGTCTTAGAGACTTGCGATTCATGAAAGCCTGACAGCAACCTGTGTCAGAGTGCGCCATTTGATATGATACACTATTAAGGAGCACTTAACAGTGTTTCGAAAAACATTATGGACATAAGCCTTTGAAAACACTATAATGTAATATGTATTTATTATCAAAATAAGAATTCATATATATGAAGCATTTAAAGCGGAGAAGTCCCTTCCCTTTGAATTATAACCTTCGGGTGTTTCCTCGTGTTGTGAAAATGCCATGAAAAAGCTAAATTAAGGGAGTTCAGAGCTCAAACTGCACCTGGGATCATGTTGGTTATGATCATGGTCGTCATTTTTCACAAAACTGTTGTCTTATTATTCTCAAATGAAAAAACATGCTCACAGACAAGTTGTACAATTTTGTACAATCAATATCAATTTCTGAACAAAGTCAATCTGTCTTTTGTTTAACAGATACATTTCTTTTAATTATATCTAAGAGGCCACACGGAGCAGTGACAGAGCCTCGTGCTGTAGATTTGTGGAGGTTCATCCCCTCTTTTCTTTCCTTCATGTGCACTGAAATGAAAGCGAGAAGTGTCATCTGAACACAAATCACCGCTTCACTTAGGAATCTCCCTGTAACTGCCTTTAACTCAGTGCAAATGAAGGGAAGAAGAAAGCTCTAACTGAAGTATAGCGGACCCTCGTCATCACTGGGCCTCCTCGTGCTCCTCGCTGATGCACTGCTCCCAGGGGTGTTTCCCCTGGTCTTCACGGTGGCCGTGCGGGGAGTGGAAGATCCTGCGGGGCAGCGGGATGGGCTGAGGCGGCAGGTCCTCCTCTGGGATGCAGCCCTCTCTCAGGTAGGGTTTCGGCGGCACGGCTGGAGGCTGAGGCCTGCGGTAAGGGATGTGGTGGGGGCCGTGAGTGGGAGCGTGGTGGTGGGGCGGGGGCCCGTGGGAGTGGCTGTCCAGTCCCGGGTGGGCGTGAGTGTGAGGGTGCTGGTGGTTGTGCGGGTGTGATGAAGGGCTGCGGTAGTGGAAAGGGCGGACAGGGTCCACGGACTCAATCTCTGGTCCGCCGTAGTGAATGTGCAGGTAGGGAGAGGCCAGGTACTCATCAGGGGGGGACCACAGGTGACTGGGAAGAGGCTCCAAGGCGTCGTTCCTGATAGGGCCGGGGTCCGGATATTGGCCTCCAAAGTTACTCTCACTCAGAGAGGAAACCCCGCTGCTGGCGCTGCCTGACAGAGTGGAGTTACTACCCCCCAGAGCTGACTGAGGACTGGTGGGGGAGCCGGGGATCGGGTGGAGAGGAGACTGGCGAGAGAAACAGTCAAATAATTGTGTGTCTTTTTTTTTCAACTTACAGTCAAGGGAAAAGTTTTGAAACAACAACCTGAATTTAATTTCTACTCAAGCTGCCTTCACATACTGTCTGAAATGTTAGGATAACAAGTTGCAAAAAGATCAAGAGTCATCAACTACTTGAGTCTGAAACTGTCCGTATTTCAGACATGTAGCAATGCCTTTGTAATTATAACTTGACAACCAGAGTTAAAAAAAATGTGTCAGTTAGGGTTGCAAAATTCCGGGAATTTTCAAAGATGGAAACTTTCCATGGGAATTAACAGAAATTAACGGGAATAAACTGGGAATTTTCAAAATTGAAGGTTGGCTCTTCATAGGGAACTTAAATATAGTTGGGGAAAGTATATTTTAGCATAATCTTGACTAAAACAAACAGATGCCATTCAAGTACACTTGAATATCCATGCCATAGCACACTGCTTACTGCATGGCTATTGAGACCACACATTTCCCAGCTTAACTTCCCATGGAAACTTTCCGGAAATGTACCGGAAATGTTCCGCCCCTTTGCAACCCTAGTGTCAGCACTCTATCATCAGGCATTTCTATAGTGTACAAATTGACTGAAAGTGAAGACAGTGTGTGGTTGTGTTGAGAACTTGGAAAATAGGACTTTCTGTGAAGTCAGGGTAACCATGACAAAACACTGAAAATGTCAATATGATAATTTAAAATTGACATTCAAAAGAAGAGGGAGGATGAGGAGAGTGAAATGCCAAAAAGTTGCTACAAAGCTGTTTTGCGTCTGATATGTTATGAATATTTCTCTGTGGGCTGTACCTTCCGAAGTGAACGGATGGGCAGGGCAGGGGGGGGGGTCGCTGTTCTGATGGTGAAACGCATCACAGTGCATCAGAAAGTGTCCTGCAAAGTGAAATTCATATGAGGAGATACATAATTTATACAATGCTTAAAAGGTCTTATGTAATGGTCCTAAATAGCCTTGAAACTCTCAAAAGCTCTTAACCCCACAAAAACCCATAAAAGCTAATTTAAAGGAGATGTACCTGAGGGGAAGGACCTGGGGGGCACGGGCGGCATGATGACCCCTCCAGTAGAAGTCGGCATGTAGGACACTGGCTCCCTGTTCTCCCCGTCCAGACTCCAGCTGCCGGGAGTGTTGGGAAAGACTGGAGAGGAAAACATGAACATGTCATCAAACACTGTGATTTATGTCTCATATAGACGATACAGTACATTTCAACCTGATTGTGTTGTCACCTTTCTCTGGCAGAGTCATGTGAGGGTCAGCACACGGCTTGCAGGGGCTAATTTGCTGAAGTAAAGCCCGCTGCATGTGGTTGTTCTGAAACATAGAATTCATCATTATAAGCAGGGATGAGAAGTCACTGAAAACGTGTTATGTAATTGGGATACAAAAAAGTGAAGTCTGTTACAGTTAAACAGGGAAAAAAGACTTAATCGCATTATCAATATCAGTTTAGTTCAAATGGGCATAATGAACAGAATATGATTTATAAATGGCTTTTTTTTTTAAAACCTATACTGGTCTGGCTAATATAATGTGCCAAAAGAGCCCCTGGAAGTTTTACACACAACATAATGTGGACATTTTAGAAATTGTTTCTCTTGTTCTGCATATTTGGCATTGAGATCATCCAAAAGTAACAGAAAGTGATTAAGTTACATTTCTTAAATATTGTGACACTTAAACCAGGTTACTAACTGCATTATTAAAGTAACTATCTGAACCCTGATTACAATTTGGTATAAGTAGAACAAGTTTTGATTTTAAAACTCATAAGAACATTTAACACATTGATTTGAATAATTACAAACACATTTAACGCCTGGTATGTTTTGGACATTGATACACTGCACTGTACATACCTGTCCATTCTCTGCCATGTTGTAGTACATGTTGCTGGTCCTCTCACGATGAGACGGCAACAGGATCATCACCTCCCGGTTGTGTTTGGCCTTATCGGGCAAGGATGGGGATCCTAGATGGAGAAAGGATGAGGACATTTTAGCACAGCAACCTCATTCTAAAAATACAGTTAATTTGTGTTGTGTAACCTTCTTCATATATTGTATTCCTTATTCTCAAGCATCTGCAAGAAAACCTCCATAGGGAAATTAAATATATACAGATTACACAGTAAGGATCATCTATAATGTGACTTTCTTACTTACCTCTGGCACTCGAGGGGGCAGAGTTAATAATCTGGGAAGAATTGGAGCGGATTGAGCTCAGGCTGGAGGAGGAGGGGCTTGGCTGCAAAAAAAGAATTGAAAAGAAGTTCAAAAAGTAAAACATTTTTCGTGGTAGAAACATGTTAACACAAACTCATACCATTTCAACTGCTTTTATGAGGGTGTGTATTACATCAAGCCTCACCTGCATGTGTAACGCATCCTCAGAGTGCTCTCCCATCATGCCATCGTTCATTAGCACAAGGTTTCCTCCTGCCTCACTCGATGTGTGAGAGGACAGAGAGGAGGACGAGTGACGGATCGATCCCTGGAGGCTCAGAGGGCTGCAGGACAGAGACAATGTTGTAACACTGTAATCTCCATGTTTTTATAAATGTGTCTGTGTGTCCATGTGTGTGTGTGACTGACCTGTGTCTGTGTATGAGGCGGACGCTCTCGGGGCTCATGTGGCTGTGGGAGGAGAGGATGCCTCTGGGAGAGTTAACCCCCGGGCAGCCTGCAGCTCCAAACCGATCCACGCCAGGCACACCCTGCTGGGACCCAACCATATACTACTCTGAATATTTACACTGCTAACACAAGCATTAAAACACTTGCATAACAACATACAGGCATATTCATAACACTCATCTCATACAAACGCAGATGCATCGAAACAGACCATACAAAATGGCTATTTACCTATTTGTTAGCAAGAATAACAATTAAAAACACAGCTCAAACCAAAACTAGTGTAAAAAACTGAGCCAGATGTGGGACTACTCACATGGTGTAAACCTGTCCTCATCATGTGGAACTGATCTACCAGCTTTTTGTGCAGAGGACGCATCTCTGGATGCACCAGCTTCTCGTGAACAGCCAGCCCCACTCCCAGAATGTGCACCTGTTGACAGGAAACCAGAGGAGAAACAGAGTTATGGGGGATGTTCATATCTTCATTATGCAGTGTTCATTTCATTGACACAAAATTGGATTACAGTATCATTTTGACTACTACTACTACTTTGACAACATGATGGCAAGACAGCAACGATGTCATAAAACACTTATGATATCAACATGCAAATAAAGACCAATAATGCTAAGACTAAAACGTAGTTTAAAAAATACAAACATCTTTAAAAGATTTTTTTTTTTTTTTGACAAAAAGGTGAAGAACTGTTCATTTCTTCCCGAATATAGTTTCCTGTGGTTTCGTAGACAATATCAGTACTAAACCAGCAACAGGGCTTTGATTTGGCCGAATAGACCAAATAAATGTTATATAATATATATAAATATAATCTGATGATTTAAAAAGACTAAAATGTCAGGAGTTTTTATTGACTAAGACTATGAAATAGTTTCAGTTTTCTTTGATTAGGATAAGACTAAAATGCGAGTTTTAGTCAAATTAAACTTGACATAAAAACAGGATTAGCTTGGATATAATATACAGTACATCTGATAAAAACTAGTAAGGACATTTGACACAGAACTAAGACTAAATAAAAACATATTTGTTGTTACCTGTTCCTGCATCAGATCCTTTAGATGAGTGATCCTCTCTGTATCTTCTGGGTGACTGCTGATGTAGTCCTTATCAAAGAAGGCCTGTTGAAGAGGAGAAGATGAGGATCGCTCACAACGCTGAAACAATTCACACATTTGAAACGTCAACCCGATTATTTCTGTCTTCTTGTGTACCTCCTGATATCTGGCGATGCCTCCGTTCACAGCAGCATCTATGACCCCATTTAGGCACATGCTGAGCGGGTTGATGTTGCCATGATGCTGTCTGTGTTGGTACTGGCTGATCAGAGTCCGAAGCTCCTGGGTTTTATTCTCCACCACATAAATGGCATTCTCCAGAGGGCTCACCTCCATCTGCAAATACATATACACAAGATATAAGGGGAGGAAGTATGTGTATATAACTTCTAATTTAACATACTCTCTGGGAAGCATAGAGAGCTTAAGAGAAACTGTGTGACATCCCTCAGCATGTGCACGATGAGGTGATGGAGAGTGAATGTTTAAGCTGCTCACCACTTCTCTCCTTTCCACCTCGGCCCAGCGGGAGATCCCGGGGAGAGGACGGGAGAGGATCAGGGTCGTTCTCTCAATCCAGAGACTCTGTGAGAGCAGAGAACAACGGTTATGCAGTCTACTATCCCACCACATCTGGAAACCATTTTAACACTTCAAATGGAAGTTCACGATATGAGTTAGCAGTCGGGAAAGCTTTAGAGGATCCTAAGTTAAAACTCCTGGTGTGGTTTGATTTCAAAATTAGGTTACTGTGTCAGTGGAAAGTAAGGTATTAGATCATGTCTGGTTTAATTTTCTAAAGCCCTATTGGCTGTACTTGGACTAGATACAAGGGGAGGGAGTAACGTAACAAAAAGGGCTGATGTTCAATAAATACGTTGATCAACAGAAAATACAGTAAGTCATCAATAATTGTGATCATTTAACTAGATTGTCTTTTTCCTGTATGCTAATGCAGCTTTCTGTCTTTGTCTTATTTCGTCATAATCGTGGAAATTTCCTTCTTGCCGCATTACATCATTCTGCAGTGTTTTAATGACTAATACACCTGCGGAGAAATAATCTGAGAAACTGGAGAGGTAAATATAAAGAGCAGTATATCTTTGTCCTAATGATGAAAACACTGCAAGCTTTCTGAAAACCATGGCATCTCTCTGACACTCTCTTCCTTTCTTGTCCCAGAATCACTATCTCTCCCTTTACCCCCATGTTCTCGTCTTTGTCCTCTCTTTGTCCTTTGTTTGTCCTTTGGGAGATTCACCAACATTGCTGTATCTAAGAGAGTTGATTCAGATTCTATGTGCATGTTTTGCTTCTTTCTGTATGAATTGTGTTATTGAGTTTGGCCTCTTGTTTGCTTGTTTGGTTTGTCTATCCTCCACCAGGTTTCCATGGTGGGTCTATTTGTTATATCTGTTGTTTGTTGGAAGTTATTGACGACCTCCCAAATCAATATTGCTCAAATATCTATTTTTTTGTCATCCAGATTGTCCTTACCATAATTTTACCCGGCTTTTTCTAGTGTGTGGATATTTGTCCTGGAAGATAATTTGCTCCATATTTTTCCAAAATAAAAGGTTTTTAGGGGCCGTTTTAATAGGAATCTAGGGGCTGAAGGATGGAGGGCATCATATGATGATACACATATTTTAAAGCGCCTTGAGGTAAATTAGTGATATTGATCTATATAACAAAAACTGACTTGACTTGTCCTATATCAGCCAAAAATACCTCAGCATGAATCTAACTAAGGCTTTGAGTTTTTGTCCCATTCCATGTTTTTAACCAGCATCTCATCTGAATTCAGCATTTCCTGGAGAAACACTGAACAGTGAGGCAGAAATGGACTGAGCGGGGCACTGCTGGTTCACCGTACCCTGAACTCGTTCTCGCGGTCCTTGGGCCCCTTGTGGAAAGGCCTGTCATAGTGGAAGCGGCTGACATTGTTTATGCGGTAGAAGCTCTTGATCCTCTCGGGCACACGCTCCAGCTGAGGCACATCAGAGATGTCTGACACTGGAGTCACTGCATAGATCTGCAAGTCTAGAAGTCAAGTGTCAAGGAAATGACAGAAAGACAGACAGACATGCATATTCACAGAGGAGGAAGAGCAGGAGGGATACTCAAAAGAAACGCTGACAAAGGTCGTTTGCTTTCACTGTCTGAAATCAATCTCAACATGCCGTGATACTATTTATTCTGTAACATCATGAAGATCATTCATACATCAGCAAATCATAGTGCAAGCTGTAATGGTAAAACAATTAGTAAATATAATTCAAATTAATTGCCAACAATGTTCATAATTGATTAATTGATTAAAAGTTATTTATCAAGCAAAATATATTAGCTTTTCACTGTTGTACATTTTCTGAAATGCGAGGATTTGCTTTTATAACATTAGGAAATTAAAATAATTGAATTAAAGGTTGTTGTTTAGATAAACATGCAGATAACTGATGGCTTTAGCGCAGTAAACTGTGTAGGATACACTGAGCGTCACTCTGCAGGATGGTGTCGTCTGGTTGGTTCGGATGCTGCATGGCAATGGCTTGTGGAAATTCCCCCAGCATCCTTTGCTGGAAGTCCTCGAGCCGTTCATAGTCATAACCACGACAGACAAACTCCTTGTTCTGCACAAAGAGAAATATCAACGATGACATGCTAATGAATAACTTTAGTACACAACGGTTATAGTTTATTACAAATAATAAGTCAACTTGTGCTCTGATTTTATTGCTGAAGAGCTAGAAGTACTAGATGCTTTAGTAAAAGTCCAAAATTCACTCTCTTTTAACCCCTCTTCCAAATCCTGAGGGAAATGTAGCTGCTAAATGTTTAATTATGTGCTTCAGCTAGTCACCAACTGTGTCTGCTGCTGTTAAGTCCTGAGAAGCTAGTGTACAGATGGCTTTCAAATGTGTTTTCTTGCTAAAAACAGCCTACTGCAGCAGAGAAAAACACTTTAAGAGAGAGTTCACATCAAAGTTTAGCTGGAAACTAAACAATGTCATCAAACTCGATTTAAAGCTCAGTAAAGTAAGGTGGAGCTGCAGGTTTTGGTGAAAGGTCTGTTTGTCCATTACTGCAACAGTTCTCATCCTCTCATTGTCTTTTTAAAGATTATTATACAAATATAGATTATAGCTGCTTTAATGAAATATATGACATTTGGGTTTGTTATTTTGCTTAAAACAAACTCTAAATGGTAAAATAAGTGAATGAAATAGATACTTAGAAATGTCATGGACCCATTTTCTTATATTTTAAGAAAATGTAATTATTTATCTAGAGCCTGATATTTACACAAAAAGTTATAATATACTTTAATGAGATTAATAACAGCAATAGCAGAGAACGGCTGGTAGAGGTATAACCCACTTATTTTCAACTCTATCCCAGCTTTCTCTCTATTGCTTCTGTAGCTGACTTGTTCTCCCGCTGAAGCATGAAGGAGAAACGTAGCCGTGCGCATCAGCAGAATCACAACTGTGTCAGCACAGGCCAAGATGAGATCTAGTAAGTCGTACCCTGAGGAAGAAAGGAAACTTCCTGCCATAGAAGCCCATTCTGAAGAACTCCGGCTCGATCCTCTGCTGCTCGATGATGTTGTCATAATACGCTGCCTCCATTTTCTGTCACAGAATGATCAACATGCAAAGGAGTCATGATGAATAATGATTTAATCACACACATTACTGTAGGCTCTGTGTTTGCTGATGAGTGTGGGTGTGCACAGGTAATTAGGACATTGTGTTTGACGCTGTACGCACATCACACTGCATAACAGGGTGACGGTGAGAAAGGGAGCTGGAAGTCTCACCCTCCAGCATCACAAAGGATGTGTGTTTTATAATAACAGGAAGCATGCGAGACTTTACTTACCCGTATCCAGCTGAGGCTCTGATAATCATATAAAGTCTCGTACTGGAAAGCCAGCTCCCGGCAGAGAGAGATCCCATATTCCCAGCACTGCAAAGTCAGAGATAAATTAGATGAATATGAAGAAAATCCTTTATGTGAGCCTTATCATTTGAAAGCAAGCAGAGAAAAAACGTAATGAGAGTCTACCGAAGCAATGTTGGATTTGGAATTCAAAATAGCTTCAAAATGTATTTGATAAATAAAAAAGGCCGATCTAAAGTCAGTCTTTCTTTATTTAAATGAAGTTGTATCTACATTAACATCCTATCATTCATTTATTTTTTACATAAAGTCAGGACCAGCCTCTACGAATAATTTAAAAAAACAGGAGCAACTTGTATGTGGATTTTTTTACTGGATTATACAAGGTTGTGTTGAGATGGTTACTGGAAAAGTGGAAATGTATGCTTTTATATTTTACAGTACATGACATAATAATAATAATAATAATAATAATAATAATAATAATAATAATAATAATAATAATAATAATAATAATAATAATAATAATAATAATAATAATAATAATAATAATAATGGGTTTAATGATCGGCTTCTTCTCTGGTTTCCTGATAAATCTTTCTATGTCTTTTGTATAAGGGGTTGCCTCCCTTTGTGTGTCAGGAGAGTGGGAGAGCCTGGAGGAGGGGATCTGTTTAGGTGTTGAGTTCAAATGTCAACAATCTTCTCCAGAATCACAGACTCAAACTTTAATTTGCCTACGTTGTCAAGCTTCAAGTTGTTCTTGAGAACATTAAGCTCTCTATTTGTCCTGGACAGATTTGAACATTTGTTACATCAGCAGATGAATCCCACAGGTACAGAACCGTGACTTGTTTTTTTCTATGAGGGCAGCAATAACAACTAGATAGGACAAAGAGTTATTGAAGGAGGCCACTTTTATTTCCTCCTCAGCTGCTCCCACAGTCCAGAGGGCATTGTCCTCTCCGAAGCACAGACACCAGTCAACTAATCTCATTTTGTGGATGAATACTAGCCAGGAAGGAGTGAGTCGAGGAAGCAAATCTCATTTGAGCCGATATCTGACCCTTATGTGGGCTAATCTTCATAGATATTTATATTATATCATATTCACTGTTTGCTTAAGCACAGAATACTTTTTTATGATATATGCCAAAGCAATGAAAATTAGATGATGTTGTTTCGATAATCCACAGTTTTGGTTCTGCTCTCTTCACGGTAGAAAGGATGTTGCTTAAGCTACATGTATAAAACATTTTCTGGAAAATACATTTACTCAAGTGTTGAAATTAAATGCAGTTTTGTTGTACTAACTCTTATCTCTTTTTTGGGACTTGTCCAGCACAATCCTAACAACACCGCTCCATCAATATAAAGCTAACTTTGCCTCGCCTCCATTTAAACAGTTTCCTCTGAGCTTCAGTCGCAGTGCATAGAGGCAGGAGTGAGAGATAACCCTATAAAAATTCACTTGCCTTGCCCTTGTTGAAGTAGTGGAGGATTTTACGACTCAGGTTCTCCTTGCGTTGCCACTCGCTCTGACAGGGGTAGTGAAGGAAGTCCCTCAGGGGCCGGTCCTCCCACTGCAGCAGCTCCCAGTACAGCAGCAGGGTGAACGCTGCCTCTGTTGTTGACAAGGCACAGGTCAGAGGTCATCAGAAAAAAAATGTAATAACGGCCATCTAGTAAAACTAACCATGTTGAATAGTTTACAGACTCGAGCTACAGTGATACACTGATATATTTTTCCAGTTCTCGTGAACATGTGGCAAAATGTCAAAAAACACAAAATGCTCAGAGCATAGTAAGGTTGTGTTGGTATATTTGCAAAAGGAGGAAGTGCAAAATGTTGCACCTGCACAGTCGTATCAGCTGCTCTCAGTGCGTTTACAATTTTCTCAGTTGCTTTGGTACATCCTATAATTAAAATTCAGAAAAATGCTCAAACCCAAAATTGGACAACAAATACAGTTTACGTTTGATTTCAAACTAGTTTCTTAGTCGAATTTATGTGTGAATTCACATTTTTGAAGAACATTTTTTTAGGGGATAATGATTTACAAAATAAACACATGTGCAATCACAGCCAACTCTGCAGAACATGAAATGTGTTTCAGTCATCTTGCCAGCTGCCGGTTGTTTGTTCTACTTAAGTGATGAATAAGGTTGTACTTGATTAGTCATATTTGGCTACTTTAACATGCACACAATACAGCCACCACTGCCAATAACGTGAGTCAAGCAAGAGCACTTAAGACATTTACAAGATTACATGGAGTCACAACTTCCCCTGATTTATTTTTGACATCGTGAGTGGCAGTACCAGACCTAATTCTGTCATGATTGTGATCTCAATGATTATGTTTGTTCATGTTTCTCTCCTACACCAATTCTGCATCTGAAATCAATGGGAGAGGGGAAACAGCACAAGAAGTAAAACCCTCTCCTTTACCTGTGAAGTCCTCTGCTTGGAGATGCAGGTCACACAGCTTGTGGATGTAACGGATGTACATGTCCTCCTTGTTGACCTCTGATTTGTAAAAATTCTGGGGATGAATTAAACATAATGGTTACAATCTAATTCCATGTGTGAATATATTCATAAACGCGTTCTTCAAACTCTGCCGGGAATGACTCACCATGAGGTTGACGGAACCGCCAATTTTCTTGTTCTCCATCTCATCTCCTTTCATGCAGTCCCTAAAAATATATTTCAAAATCTTACTGCTCTGTAATTCCATGACAAAAACCATCAGTTTGATTATGTGCAAAGTAATCTGTAATCTCTGCATACCTGTAATCCAGTAATCGCTCCACAAGTCTTGTGACTGATGTGACAAATGAGATCCCCGTCTCTCTCCAGGTCTCCTGCTCTATCTTCTCCAGCAGGCTGCACATAAAACACAGTGAGATGTTCTTACAAAAGGTGACAAGCACAGGGACTAAATAGATATGAATGACAACGTCTCTCCGTCTTAGCTGTGAGAGGACTACAGCTCACCTTGGATAAGGCCCAAACAGCATGGTCCTGCAGTGTGACAGGCAGACAACACAGAGAGTATGTTAGAGGAAATACCATGAGAGCAGCATCACTCTGAGTATCACTCCACAGGCTCACTAAACACAGGTTTGATGCTTACAAAAGGCTGAAGAGCTCTCGGTGGTTATCATCGCCTTTCCCATCCGACACCATGCTGTCCAGCTTATCCATCAGCTCTGCCTCCACCTACACACATACATACATTCAGTAAAAAGATGTTGGTATATATTATACGCCAAAAAGATGTCCATTTCTTTATCACAGCTGCTGCGTCACACAATCTGCCATCTTTACATAACACTATCACAATGACCTGTTTGAAGTTGCCGTTTTTCCTCTGCTCCCAATCCATCATGTCGTGGAAAATTGGGATCATAATATTTCGTACTTCGGTCTGAGGCACCAAGGTGACGCCGAGGAAGGGACCCATCATTCCTGGGATGAAGTGGGGCTTGTTGTCACCTGGATTACAAAGATTATTATAGATTGGAGTCATATTTGTTGGTCATTTCCTAAAACCTTTCTGTATTTTGTGTATTTGTGTTTAGAGTCAGGTTGTCTGACGTACCTAATTTCTGCCACATGCTGAAGAGCTCATAAGCCATCATGACTCTCATATCTCCATGCCTATAAAGAAAAGAGTAGTGCTTGAAGAATGAACAGTTAGATAAATAATAAACCTGTGTTTGATAGAATCCACACAATTAATATCCGGAAGTTTCTTACTGTTGAGGAAATTCTTAAGAGAAACTGATAAATGATTCATGGACAAAGTTTGTCTTTTGTTATATTTAAGTAAGTAATAAAGAAAATCAATATACAAGTGAAATTTGACACGGCACTTACTTGTCCAGGATTTTCTTTCTCTTTGCCGGGCCGAGTGCCTCCAGCTGCAGACTGGGCTGGTTGATGTACAGCACGGTGAGGCTGAAAAACGAGTTCCACACCTAACAAACCACAGACAAAAACACAAGTAAATAAATGCTATGTTGAAAATGTTAGGAATGTATTCAATACATCACACAGTCTATGTGCTGGGTTTCCTAAATGCTTGCCCCCCGCTGCTCGGACACACCTTGAAATCAAAGTCAGCCTCAGAGAAGTTCTTGTGGAGCGCGGGAGACAGGAACTGTGTTGTCACTACGATGATGCTGCAGAAAGCAAACAACACACTGTCAGCTAACAGAACGAGCTAGCTGCCAAAAATAGATGAATAAATTGCAACACAAGCGTCACCTTCAGATCAGGATTATCTTAAGAGACTCTGATCTAATGGTTGGCTGTATTCCCTTACCGTCTCTGGGACAATGACTGCATGACAGAAATGGAAAAGCAGACTCACTGACTAGTCAGAAGCCTCATGACGCTCCAGTCTCGGGGAAAGATATTCAGTTTCATCAGATTGCGGAACACGCAGAAGATCTTCAACAGGAACTCCTAGAAAGGATTGTATTAGTTAAGTGTTGCAGTCAAAGTATGCAATAAACAGGCTGAAGCAAAAATGATTTGATCATTTGCAGCCGGAGATATCCTACCTTTAACTCCTCTTTGCTATGGAAGTTGTTGAGTAGATGGTGAAAGTGGAGCTCTGACATCGTCTGCAGCAGAGAGAGAAGACAGGAAACATACTCCCCCTGCCAAAAAAAGTGACAGAAATGGGCATTGAAGGTTAATCCACTCAAAATATTAACTCAAATTCAACCTGTTTTAATTGCACGTCAAAGAGACACTTTGAGTGGAAGCTCACCGTTATCTCCGCCGTGCACTGGGGGCAGCGCTGGCCTCTGGACGTCTCCACAGAGTGAGACTTGCTCATGATGGACAGCAGGGTCTGCAGCAGCACATCCAGAAGGCTCTCCACCATCATCTCCACTTCCTCCTGAACAGAAGACTCCTGAGACACACAGACATGCAACACGTTCCTTATGGGAATGCTTTAGTATGTGTGCTATCATGCTGTAGGTGCATTTAAATAATCTAATCTGTTTCTTTTAAAGTAAATTAGCATTTTATATTGCATTTTCTAATTAAATGAAACCTTTTTTGGAATCACATTTAATGTTAAGTCCTATATGCTGAATATGCATGGTAAATTGTTCAGTACCATTGAGCTAGTCTTAATGATGGCAAAGATGCTAGCAAGGATCCCAGAACAGATGAGCAGCTCCCTCTGCTGGCGCAGATGCAGGTGGATGTGATGCAGAACCACCGGCAGCAGAATACTACGAGACTCTGTGGCAAGAGAGGAATAACAGAAAGGAGGGAGATTGAAGATAAAATGCATTTTGGTATCTTCAGAACAATTAAACACTTTGCATAATCAATAACAAGTGTCCTACCAGGGAAGAAGAAGAGGCGGCTCTCCACTGTACGAGCGATGGACTGCAGTTTGACTACATCCATGGACTGGCCGATGTCCACTGTGCTGGGCATGCTCCCTAGGGTGCCTCTGACATATTCGGCCACCTCCTGAACGGTGAACATCTGCAGCAGCTCATCAAAGATATCCGGGAAACTGTTCAACAGTGCTGCCTGGTGGGGGGAAACAACGGACACAGATAAAGGAGTTTGAAGGGTGCATACGGAATAATATTGTCACAAAAAACTGTACTTACATGTATAAAAGCACCACAAAACATACCAGTAAGAGCAAATATTCTCTGAGTCACACAAAACTAAGCAAACCTGCAATTCATCCTTTAGAACAGGGGTGTCCAACTCAAGACATCATTTTATGTGGCCCTTAAGAGCTTGCAAAGAATATTATATACAATACAATTGGTGTAATTGTTGAATATTTACTTTCAATTATTTGCCCTAGACTTCTGCTTTCAGACGTAGTTGTTTATGAAGTTATTACCAGAACTGATAATAATCCAATGCAGAGCCAATCATGTAATATGATACATTATTTAATATATTTATATATGTATATTTATATAGTCTTAAAGTTACAACCGGCCCTTTGAGTGCAACCAAAATGCTAATGTGGCCCACAATGAAATTGAGTTTGACACCCCTGCTTTAGAAGAAACACCAACATTTAAAAACACAATACATGGCCTTCCGCAGCCATAATCTCAATTTAGCACTGATTTAGGAATACATCTTCCTTTACATCGACTGCATTGTGGAACCAACACAGGGGGGCGCGTGTGACTTACTGAGATGGACGAGACCCTCGGAGCATGATACCACAGAAAAGCATGCAGCTGCTCACACCTCTAAACTGTCCCAGAGCAAGACAAGGACGGGGCGAGGGGTTAAAGCATGAGTCACAACATGCACACATGAGAGGTGAAATAAGTCAAAAGAATGAAAATAGAAACAAGTTAACAAATAAAAGGTAAACAATAAATCATGAATGAAACGTAAGATGATGGATAAATAAAAACATATATAATAAAGATAAAAGTTGCGGACCAGTTGACGCACTGTACGTCTTTAGAGCAGTAGAGTTTAGTGTGAACTTTCTGACCTGCGTGAACACCAAGTTCTCTGAGCTGCGGCTGTCCAGACTCAGCACGAAGCGGATGGACTGGAAAAGCTCCTGGATGCTCGCTCTGAACTGCTCCTCCTCCATCCCACAGGTGGCTCTGGAGTACAGGATGCGAGACTGGACGATAAACTTGAACAGGTACTCTAGAGCCTGAGGGGGGGGGGAAGGAAGCAGAAGGAGAACTGCAGTCAGTGAATGTAAATGTAATTTCATACAATGAATTCTATACAAACACTGAGCACCAAAGTGGTATGTTTGATCATCCAGAGAAAATCAATAAACAAAAGATACGTTGTAAGAGGATACTTCTCCATGTGTTTTTTCTGAAAAGGAAATTCAAAGACCATGCGGAAATGTTTCACTCTGAAGTCCCTCACTGACGCCTTACAGGGCTTCACATTACTCCTTATCAGTTCCTCTGTTACCATTTCCTTCTAATGAATCCCAGTAGAAGGAGCCAGGACAGACACGAAGGAAGGGAATTGATACTTTACCCTCATGGCTTCCTGGATGTGGTCCTGCCGGACGACCTCAGCCGAGCGGTCCATGTACCACTTCAGACATCGAATCAACTCTCTGCGGAGACACAGTTTAATATGATGAGGCTCAATATCAAGTGTGACTTTGTAGGTTATGTAATTGAGATTTTTGTTTGTGTTTTAATGTTTTACTTGTATGCCAAAGCTCCAGCAAAGTGGTTTTGGATGTAGGCGTCCATGACAGGTCTGAAGTGGTAGAAACGGCTGTCCCTGAGCAGGTTGATGATGAAAACCTAAAAACATTATTCATAAGATGTTAAGCTTTTTTTCTCTGGCTACAGGCAAAACAAATCATGTAGTAGAGTATACTTATGCTCCTTTAATTTTCCTACCAGTGACTGGAAAACCAGCGGTCCGTATTTATCAGTGTTGTCATCTAAAAGACAGAAGAGCGTATCCAGGACATCTCGCAGGAACTGTGAGGAGAAACAAAGGAACACACAGGCTTCACATTAAAGGCCTCGCTGGAAACTAAAATAAAAACAAAGGGAAGCCCATTCATCCAGAAACACTTTTTTTAGTTCTGAAATGAGGTTTACAAATTAAAAACAGTATAAAATATGTTAAATAATAATATTATAAACACATAATCAGTAAGTCACACTTAAAATGTACCTTAGAAAACTATACTACTGTCTTTTCTGTTATTAGATTACATATTTTGTTTAGCGTATAGTCAAGTACACCGAATAACCTCCCCTGCCGCACAGAAGGTAAACATTAATAATTCTCTTCATGAAATATGAATAATATGACGACAGTGACCTTGACAATCTCTTCTCCACTAATCTGACGTAATCGACCGAGGATGTCCAACACCCTGTCTGGATGTGCCTTCCAGTTGAGAAGAGCCAGCAGGTCCACTGGAAACAGAGTAAACTCAAATTGAGTTCAATTCAATCCAAGGGGAAATATAAATAAGAGCGTGTGAGATGGTGAATTACCATTTTGTGTGAGTTTGGTGGAGCAGAGTATTGTGGAGACCGAGAAAGTTTCTTTGGGGCTCCTCTGGAAGGGCAGGTTGGCCGGCAGGTTGGGGCAGCTGTTGAAGTCTTCTTTGCAGCACGGCAGACTCAGGTACAGACCCTGGTTACTGAAGGTGGCGTTTTCATCACACTGGAGGACAGATACCAGAGGGAACGAGAGGGTTTATTATGGTTTAAAGGCAACTTGGAGGTCAAAGAAGTTAAGGAACAATGGCACTGAACCATCATCATCTTCATTAGGGACGGAAAGTTGGGGTTGTCATACTTTCTTTATTCTGAGGGGTATACTTTAGGATGCTTACAACAAAGTTACACTGATCATACATATATTGCAAACTAACTGGATGCAGATAATCATATCTAACCTGTAGTATTTTGGATCCTGTTGTATTTTTGACTTCTTATTTTAATTATCCAGAATATTGTATATTATTTTGTTTATATTTGATATAATATTTTTCATTTTTTCATTTTATTTGTAATTGTTAATTCTCTTTTCCACTTTTTTATTATTGTATTATAAAGTCTGAACACACTTCTGCTTCTGTGACGAAAAATGTTCCCAAACTGGGATCAATAAAGTATCTATCTATCTATCTATCTATTGATCTATCTATCTATCTATCTATCTATCTATCTATCTATCTATCTATCTATCTATCTATCTATCTATCTATCTATCTATCTATCTATCTATCTATCTATTGATCTATCTATCTATCTATCTATCTATCTATTGATCTATCTATCTATCTATCTATCTATCTATCTATCTATCTATCTATCTATTGATCTATCTATCTATCTATCTATCTATTGATCTATCTATCTATCTATCTATCTATCTATCTATCTATCTATCTATCTATCTATCTATCTATCTATCTATCTATCTATCTATCTATCTATCTATCTATCTATCATATACTGTTGTATATAACGATATGTAACAAATTGTGGCACAGTAGGAATATTTCTGTAATCATTGTTGGGCATTTTGTATTTATTTGATGGTGAGACAGACAGACAGTGGGAAGAGAGTGGGTAAAATGCCAGACCAGTGCTATAAGGACCCTAATGGTATGCACTCTACCCAGAAAGCAACAAGTGCGCCCACACAAAAGGTTTCTAAGGCTGTTCAATTGATGATAGATAAATACAGCACATTATCTTTTCCAGTAAAGGCAACTGGATTTTTTTTTGTACACCTTCTAAATGCGCATGAAAATCTGCAGACATATTCTTTACATCCTCTTAGTTGATTATGTCATGCTTGTATTATTGTTGTATGAGACAACTCTAACTGCATTGGTCCTTCCTGGACAGGGTTAACAGTCCTGAACAACACTTTAAATGTACACTGTTTGATCAGTCTCTCAGGGTTGCTCAGCTATCACATGGTATATACTGTACATGTTTCTAGTGAAATAGAGCAGAGAAAATGGATGGTGCATTTAATTACATGTTGGCAGAGCACAGAGTGACCGAGGGTCCACTGCTGAGAAAACACTATGAAGACAAACAGAGAGCTGGCAGCAGCTGACACCCGCCACAGCTGGGAGACTTTTAATTAAAAAATTCAAGACACAAAGGTCATAGTTAAAGAGACAGCAAAGTGTGTCTTGTTAATATTGTTATATAACAACAATCATTATGACATTATGCATCTTTTTTTATAGTTGATAGATAACACTGTTTATCTAATATGTGTGTTAAAACTTAAAGATTTTACTGAATTACAGACTTCCCTAGTTAGTGAAAAACATAATACTGCCAGATGATGGTAGATGATGAGCAACATATAAGGAAATGTTACTTTAAAGTGGACCTATCATGCTATATTTGAATAATATATTGTAGGGCCATACCTATATAAAACATGTCTGTGAAGTTTTTTTTTCAAAATACCAAACAGATCATGCATTTTAGCCATGCCTCATTTCGTTCTATTTGCTCTTTTCCAGCCCTGTTTTTGCAAGGGCTGATTCTGCTTTTGTGGCAGACTACAGCGCCACTTACAGGCCTGGCATATGTACTACAGCGTCTCCAGCGCTTTTGAGCGGTCTCTCATTCCCCTGATAGGTGGAGAGTTGCCCATATAGGCGGAGCACCCCTTTTCTGACGTCAGAAAAATTCAAATAATAATCAGCTCCGTTGCAGCCCCGTTTTTAGAGATTTGGGTATGGAGGAAAAGAGAGAGGGTTGTGTTTTCTGACACTTGGTGAGTTCCCTGACACACCGGGGACACATATTCATGTATAAAAGACGTACAAAAGTGCATTTTGCATGATAGGTCCCCTTTAAGCATTAGTTTGCACGGACTTCTTTAAAGCAAATGTGTATCTCTGTAGTTGGCGTTAAACTGTGGAATTCTTTACCAAATGATTTAAAGGGCTGTATGGCCATCTTTAAGTTTAATAAAATGTATAAAGAAAGAATAATTAGACAGTATTAAGAAGTCAGGTAATCTGTTTCGTTGATGGTAGTTTGTTGTGTTTACTTTTGATTGTGTTTATCGTTTTATGTTACTGAAAGTATTGGTTGTAAGCAGCGGTGATTAACAGACCATCTATTTTTGTGTAAGGGGCAACTAAAATAAGACCTCCCTGCTCCTTTCCATCATGGCCTACAAAAAAACTGCTTAAAGTGTAAATGTTTTGTTTTTATAATAAGTGCCATGAGTGGAATAAAACTAAGATATAATATATAATAAACCTGCACATACCTTGTACACATATAGCTCATGGCTTTCATCTGACAGTGTGGTCCCGTCCTCTCTCATCAGAGGAGTGAACGCAAAGCCAAACAGTTTTTTCTCTCCTTTGTCTTTAGCTGAAAAGAAGCACATCATAGTATCATGCATCATCATACTGTATCAGCACAGCCCAACTACTTGTATAACTCAGAGCGTGATCCAATCTGTCCAAATAAACTCATACGCTGAGGGATGACTGCCACTGGGCTGCATTAGTGACTCACTGGAGCAGTGTCTGAACTCGAAGCGTAGGTGGGATCCTCTGAAACGATCTATGGGAATGGGCAGCTTGACCATCTCACTCCAGCGAGGGCTGTTGTTGTGGTAAAGGACGAAAGAGCGATATTCGCTGGAGCTGGGCTCGCCGCTGCCCAAACTGATGCAGTCCTGAGAAGGAAGGCAGCACAGTAGATTGTTTTTAGTGACATATACTGTTAATGACGTATCAAATTAGTGTTAATGACACATGAGGAAGTATGGGAGAAAGGTTACACTCATTAACTTATGTACATATGTGTCATACTTTGAGTGTGTCCCCGTCGGCGTAAAGTACGTAGAGCGTGACTTCGATGTTCTTCTGGACGCTTTTGCCGCCCCTCTCAAACTCTCCCCTCTCCAGGGTCAGATACAGGTCGTTGCGTGTGTCACCTAAGACAAATACGAAGGGGAAACGTTAGTAAAAGAAAATTCCACCAACACTTCAAAGACTGGTGAGCACTACTGCCCTGTCGGTTGGGGAAAAAAAGGTTTTATAAAGTTATAATAGCTAGAGGTTGATGGCGCATAGTCACTTGTGTTAAAATTGCTCACATAGGCCAGAAGCGCTTGCGTTCATGTTGCAGCCTAATGCCTGCATGAGGATGATCCATCCCACAAATGGAAATTGATTTTCTAGAATTAGGGAAAGGTTAAAAATTATAAAACTTATATTGTTAAAATAATAATAATCTACTTTTCTTTTTTGTCAATAGCTTAACACACACATCTTATTTAATGGTAGTCTATGGGGAAAATAGTTATTGTTTTTTATTTTTTAGACGCAACGTCTCAAGGGGCCACAGCTCTCCTCAGATCCATGGTGGAGGAATATGTGAAGTTTACTAAACATCTGTCGCTCGCTCCTCATCTCCACTCCATGCTACATTAATAGCTGCTAGCATAACACCCTGATCTCTGCTCCCAACTGCCACATTAAATTGCATTATGGGTAGCGACGGGCGTCAGGTTTAAACAAGTAAGAACAATGAATAGAACAAAAAAGAGACTATATCTGTGGCTCTGCTACATGCATTTTAGGCCTTTTGTGAGTGCAACAATGCTGAAGAGTGCAAGGCTAAATCTGCGGAGCACTCCTTCAAGCTTGACACACTAACTAGGAAGTCATGCGCAACATCTTGAGGTTTAGAGTCAAAACACGACATAGACATCTCAGTAGACTATTAGAACCAACATGTGTCCTGTCCTGGCAATGTTAATACTTTATAATGTACATGTCAGCGTCTGCTCCACAGATGAACTGCGAGTGGTCAGCATAAATTAAGACTAAGATGTGCACCACACGTCATTGTTCCAGTTGATGAGAAATGACCCCGCTGAGCTGTAATACACTGTAGCTCATGGCTGCCTCAGCACCTTTTGTGAGGTCAGTGTTTAATGCAATAAATATCAGTGGCAACAGCGGAGGAAGATATTGCAGTTATTTATAAAATCAGATTATAGTTATTTATATCCAAGTCATTTCCTTGGGGACGCATGAGTCACAAGAGGTGATATTGGGAGGTATTTCAGGCTAACTGGTGAGGAGAGGATGGGAGAGGAGAGGAGAGGAGAGGAGAGGAGAGGAGAGGAGAGGAGAGGAGAGGAGAGGAGAGGAGAAGATCATACATTCTCAGTAGACACAAAGCAGAGCCATGATATCTGATGAAATATACCGAAATAAACACACACCTCAGATTTTCTCTCTCTCTCTTTGAGATATCTTTGAAGACCTCTGCTTTTCATAAGTTGCTCAGCACCTGACCTAAATGCAGATCTCACAAAAATACTGTAGGGAGTGACAAATCCGAGAGCCTCCTAAACACCAGTGCTGGAAGAAGTACCAGTAACAATAAAAACATTTAAGAATATAGCATTACAAGTAAAAGTCCTGCACTCATAATCATACTTGGTAATACTGATGCATTTATATACTTTATACACAGCTGTGTATTTTGATGTTCCCAAACTTGGGTACTCTGGAAAGGGTTGAAGATAACTCTGAAGGTTGAAGAAGGAAATGAGAAATGCAATGAACCTAAATTCTTCTTCCCTACTAATTTGAGTTCATTTTCTGAGAATTCTTCTTTAATTACCTCAGTAAAGGAAGTCATATTTTTGGTTCAGTATCTGTTCGGTTTGTTGGTCAGTAGGATCACGGAAAGATTACTGACCCGATTTTCAGGAAACTTGGTTCAAGGGTGATACATGGGCCAAAAAGGAACCATTGCAGCAGATCTGAATCATGAGGTGAATACACAATTATGCTGTTTTTGTCAAATGTTTAATATGTTTACCTCTTGGGGCCTCACATAGTTATTTAAATTAAACTTTCTGGAAGTTCAGACAGGGAATGTCTCTTTAACAACTCGTGACATCCCTGAAATGTAACAAAAGGCCACTACTATTGAAAAAATGTTGTACAAATATTGTATTGTATTTTGTTATTTTACTCAATGTTTTCAATGTAACTAGAAAGTAACTGTAGAAAAATGTAGCACCAGTATAAAGTAGCATCAAAATGAAAAAGTGAAGTACAGCAGATAAATAAATTAACATTTCCTTGGCACAACACTCTGCTCTCTCCTACATCTTCCTGTTTCCTGCGGTTTTCTTCTATTTAATCTTTCACCCCCATCCTCCATGCCCTATCCCTGTCCTCCTTCATCTGCATCTTCTGTACCCTGACCTGTGACCGTCCCCTCTCTTCATTCCTCCAAGCCATCTGGCCTCTGGTCTCCACCTCCTCCTTGAACTCTCCGTCCCCATTACCGCCCGCTGCTCTCTGCCTCCTCACCTGGCAGGATGACATCTGGGAAACCCAGTTTGCGTGTGAGTGCCAGGGCCCTGTTGAACACGGCCTGGTTCTCCCGTCGGATTTGTTCCAGCTCACCTCGCAGCAGCTGCAGGGAAATGATGAGGCCTGGGGGCAAGAGTAAGCACATTTGTGTGTGTTAAAATGGGGCGAAAAAGGCAAATGTAGAGGTGTGGGGTTGTGGGAGGAATGTGAAATTGAAGGGAAAGTATAAGCGTAGGGGCAAAGAAGAAGGCAGGCGGGAAAAGGAGGGACAGAGGGGTATTTAAAGGACATTAGTCAGAATGTGGGGGAGGAAAAGAGAGACACGAGAGTGGATGGAGAGACGTGATCGAAGCCAGGGACAACAGAGGGAGGCAGGAGAAACCGTGTCGTGAAAATACGCAAAGAAGCAAGAAAAAATATGGCTACCACAGAAATCTAGTGACAGATTTTTGTAAGGCATGAGTCATATATCAAACTGTGAGATGCACATAAAAAAAGAGTAATAGTGAAGTGGAGAGATCACGCCTACATGTTGAACATTTCACAAAGCAAGATAGATTTTTTAATCAGAACCAAGAAGATGATTGGCATTATCTTTCAAAGGATCAAATTCAATGGCTGAGCTGAAGTGTTTTCTTCTTTAGGTGAATATTATCACAGTGACAGTTAGGGGTGGGTGACATACAGTGAAGTCTTTATTGAAATTCATGGATATGAGGGTATAGTTTCTATACAATCCATCATTGTCAAACATTGCTGGATAAATTAATAATGGGGTAATGTCTATTTTTGTCCAAATCCTAAAGGAACACTTCCTAATTCTTGGAAATATAAATATTTGGCTTGTTCTTATAGTCCTCTGCGATATAACACAATGAGAACATATACTTCGCAGCCATATTTATTTTCTTGCCGAGTGTTAGCTTAGAATATTGAAGCCACTGCCTTAGTTATCCTTTAAATATAAAGCTACAGCTGGAAGTTGATAGGCTTAACCAAGGACAATTTAAGTCTATTTCTTGGCCAGGAGCAGAAGTCACTGTTTATGGCAAAGATACAGAAATGTCCTGTTTTCTCAGAATAATCCACATACATTGCTTCTAAGAAGGAAATAGTGCCTATAACACTGCAGGCAGCACTTTCTTTAGACAGATTGATTTTTTTAAAGGTAAAGAAAAGACTATAAGCAAATGAAATGAGCTCTCAAATCTTGACAAAATACAACCATAATTGTCTGTATGTCTAGATACCATAGCACAAGTGCATATGCTGCTCTTGTATATATCAGCAGTCACATGACCTGCCCTTGACCCAAGACCTCCCCTAACTTGCTTACTCGCTGTGAACTGCTTTGAATAAAAACATCAGCAGCAAACGTTGAATTTTCTTCTCTATAAATTCTAACCGAAAGAAAAAAAGGTGTGAATCTAATCATGGGGAGAACAAACAGGGATCAGATCAGTAGAGACGTCATATTTACCATAGTTGGTGCTGGGAGCGGAGTACTTGGTGTTGGACTTGCGGATGATGTTCTCCTGTATCTGGTGCCACTCGTTCTCATTGTTACATCTGTAGAGAGAGACAGTTGGGTGGGGCTGTTAACAACGCACCCATTAGTGGGTCCAGATGGAGGGATTGGGACTGTGTGCATGGGGACTACATGAACAGCATGTGTCCCAGAGCCGATTTCCTCCTGGAGAAAAGGTAGCAGCAGGGGGAGGTGCTATCAAGCAGCACATTAGCCCAAATGCACAGCTCACTAAGCAAACCTGACAGCCAGCTCTCTACCAGCCTTTTTCATTACTGTGGGCCTGTAGGCCCCTGGGATGGCATGGGGAAATGCACAGACTGGAGCATTATAGGAGCCGACAGTTTGGAGACAGCTCAGCACTGAATCACTGCTTGCTTTTTAAAGGGAAGAGCTCTTCGCCTAGGCAGAGGAATCCAATATAAACGACAGCTTTCTATTCTAAAAAAAATCTTTATTTCACACTGTGCTGTAAAGTTATCCTGGAAAATACAACATGTGAAAAATGTCGCACACAACAGGATGGCAGAGCGCATGAATGACCTCTGACCCCGAGCGGACGCTAGGGAGGACACTGCAGACACAAGGAGACATCCTAGCTGTTGACTGACAAGAGAAAGTGCTGAGCTTGGTGTTGTTTTTTTCTTTGTCCTCTAACTTTGCTCAATTATCTAAGTGTCATCTCCCCCGGTCTCTTCCCCTCTCCTTCTCTGTGTCTCCCTCCTTCTCTGGGTTGGCTGGCGTACAGGAGAGGCTCTCTGTGGCGAAGTCTAACAGAAGCAGCCAGATTCACAACACGCCAAGTGCCCTATCTCGGGCCCAGGGTGAGTAGCTATTGATTTTCCAGAGGACACTTCATTATCATTCTGGTCAAAACACACCAGGCATCAACACTGGAGCACTAGGTTGTCATGCACGGCATTTGCAGAACAGTCACATTTCCCGCCTCACTGCGTAGACTCTTTAACTCTATTTCCAAAAGAACAGAAGCCATGCAACTTCTACTAAGCAGTTACACTGACATCTGTATACAAATAATATTCTGTTTCACGCTTTAAATGCCAGAGAAATTAGTTTTTAGGGCGACTGTATTTATAATGAAGAAGAGCTCAGGTTTAACTCACGTGTAAACTTTGAGCACAAAGTCCTTCTCCTCTTTGAGGTCTGTGATCGTGTGGAAAACGTCACTCATGGCAAGAACGGCGCAGCCATAAGGTCGTCTGTACTGCACATGGGGGGGGCCTTTCTTTGAGTCGTTCAGCAGCATTCGACCTGGAAACAGAAAGGAGAGGGATGCGCTAAAACATAAGCATTGATAAACCAAAAATCTTTATTATTAAACACTGTGCCATATTTACCAGTTCTTATGACATGTGCAACAATGTACAGATCTCTCTTCAAGTCTTTACTGCTTAGGTCCTAACGAGAAATGGGATGAAAAATGTCCCTTAAGTATTTGAAGTACACAATATTTATATTGAAGACTTGAAGGGAACATATGTTACCGTGAAGAGAGCACACAGACGATCAACCTTCTCTGGATTCTTTGGTCCTCCATTTTTGTTCAGTTTCACCATGAACTTCTCACTGCAAAAAAAGCCAGTTCACAGTTTCAGAGTGTCAACCACAGAAGGCCTCAGTCAATCTGCTGGTCAGACATAGTGTGTGGACATATGTGAGTGCAGTTTGCATCGGGGGATCATTTGGTTATGAGTGCACTGACATTCACCCCCCCCCCATACCTGATCTGTTTGGCCTCCCGAGTATCATACAGAGAGAAGAAGACGTCTGCATCCTCGCTGATGCTGTTGTAAGTAAAGCTCTTCAGGTTGATGAAGAGGTGGTGTGACACAGGGACACGGCAACCGTCACCGTGGCGTTGTCTCGTGCTGTCACCCTGGGAACGAAGAAAAAAATGACCGCTAAAAAGGCTGCTCCTCACTGCGATTGAGGCCGAGTACCTGCCACTCAGTTAATGGATACGCCTATTTAGCAGATCAATGGGGGTACTGTAAGAGGTGAATAATTCATTAATATATGCCCTACAGTGTACTTCATCCTGTCACATGTACATGCTATTTCCAGTAGACTTTAGTTACAAGAAATGATGAATGAATGATGGAAACTGCAGCTGTGGTGGGTCTGTTTTTGTTGTGCGGGGCTGCAGGGGGTTGTCTTACTGTGATGTAAACTTCTCTATTTATAGGATGTATGACAACTATTGTGAATTATGCATATCATATGGTAGCTTCATATTTAATAAACAGACAATTCTGCTTTTAAGGCCTTCGCTCACGGGGGACTACATACAAAAAGCATTTTAGAAATGCTACATTCCTTAGATGTATGGAGTCCATATGCAACAAGTCCTTGGTTTCCACACAAATGAAATGTACTGGACAAACATATCTTAAGTGCCTTAAAGCACCATTTGTGCATACATCTTGTAGCATATGTGATCCCAGTGGGAATCAACTCTCACACTCTGGCAGCAGAAGTGTGAGGTTCTTATGCAGCATGGCAATGAAACCTTATCATTTATATATCAAGGGCTTTTGTCCCTGCAAGCTTCTTATCCTCAATGCAACGAAAGACATTGCTAGAACCACAGGTCTTAATGTGATAAAGCCAGAGTGCCCCGACTTTTGAACACTGACCTGTTCACAGAGTGTACAGACAGAAGTAAATATTAAGAGATGAAGGGACTGACACATCATGAAGGGTTCTGATGATTTTGAAAACAAACATCTTTGAAAGGACTGTACCTGGGTTGTGCTTTGCTGACCACAGTGTCTGCTGGATATATGCTGAAAAAGAGCAAAGTTCAAAGGAAAGATGTTAGATCAGTCGGTCCATTCTTTACTCATCCCACACAGCATTGAACTTATTTACCTTAAGCAGCTTCAGACACACACTACCTGTGGGTTGCCTCTGTCAATGCTTCATATCTGACAATTTGCACCTACGTACGTAGCCGAGGGGCTATACTACTGCTCCTGCAGCGCTAAAAGAAGCCCACATGAGGCAAAACGTGAGCGTGTGGGAGAGGAGAGGACAAAGCCAGTATCGCCCACACACACCTCTTTGCTCAGCAGCCTGAAAGAACTCCTCTACTCCCCTACCTGAAGAAGTGCCAAGGCCGTGCGCCCTGCCAAAAACAAGCTCACTTTCATCGACAGAGTCAGGATGCTTTTTGGCAAGAGAGAGCTCGCTTTTGTTACTGGACAAAGCATTTAGTGCACAAACAATCTGCGTGCAGAGCTGAGAAACATGGCAATGGGATAATGTGAGGCTGCGGGGCATTTGGAGAGAGTTTTGATCAGCATATGGAGCTTCCACTTGTGACCAGAAAGGATCTCCCTCCTAGATAGCAGTCTCCAGCAGTATTACATTAGGTTTCATAACATCGGTGATGTAATCGCATATTTCTAAAATAGTACCTGCTTCAGTTGGTCTCCTCTCTGTGTGTGTGTACGTTTAAAAGTCCCATGTCAGTGAAGACAAAATACATTTCAGGCATAATTTATTCACGGAAATGTGTCTCAAGTCTAGTTGGCGGATTAAAGCAACCAAGAGTAAAATATGTATCTTATTTTTTTAAATAAATGCTAAAAGATTAATTTGTATGTATTTTCCCGGAGCCTCACCTAGGACTGTCTCTTTGCATTATGTCTGCATTGCTAGCTGGCAATCCCGCATGTGAGAGTCACGTGCATGCAAGAGTCACGTGCATGCAAGAAAAGGGACACACTCAATATGGCGGTAAGATAAGCATAAAGAACAGGTCACATGAGGCAGCTGAATCACACTCCCTCTTGTGAGTCACCTTCTTGTGGATGATTTGATAATCGGTACATTCACACATCCATACACATCCAACCACACATTCTTGTATGTAAAACCACATCAGCAGGAAAAAAAGCCACCAAAAAATCTCATAGTCCGCATCATTTGAGACATTACAATACAACTTTACAGAATTTTAAGTAGATTACATGAATGCTGCAAAATTGCTTTTCATTTCTCTTATATCCTTCATAGAGTGCACATTTACTTTATTAATGTATTATTTTCAATAATTCATGTGGTGAATTTGTACAGCATGCACTGGCTGAAAGATATTCCCACCCTACTGTACATACCAGTTTGTGTAGCTCTGATATGCTGATCTGATCCTGATCCACCATTTCAAACTCTTTTCTGGGAACAAGGTCTAAGCCGAGGTGCCTGGAGAAAGAGGGATAAGAGGTGTATGACAAAAAAGGCAGAATCAAAACAGTCTCATATTACAACTTCAAGTTAAAATATATTACATGTTAAGCTCTTCAAATACACTCCTGGAGGGTTTTTCACTTCAGCTTTTAAAGATAATATGAATAGTCAAAAGGTGTCACTTCATCAATTTATAATCCAGCCTAATCAAATCTTAATACGACACTTTATAAACATGCCTTCTAACATTCACTAAGGTATTGTACTTAGTTTAAAAAGAATGATTTCTATCAAATGCTACTTTTTATTTAAAGGGGCCCCATAATCCTTTTTGGAGTTTTCCCTTTCCTGTAGTGTGTGGGTTACAGAATGGTCTGCAAAGGTTAAAATCCCCTATGTTCCTTCCAGAGGGAGTTTCTCTCCCACACAGTGTTTGAATTTTGACTTGAGCCGTCCCTTATAGATACTGTCTTTTTACGTTAGTGAGCCGGATCATTTGGCTCGGCTCTCTTAAAGCGCCAGCTGTTTCGGCTCCCAAACGGCTCTTCATGTTACCACAGTTTACCACGGAGCCTCAGTTTCGCCGCTGCGAGGCTCTGAGGCTCTGGTGCTCGCAGCTCACGCGCGTGCTCCACTAGCACCGCTCATCGCGTCCAAATCACGCACGTTCCGTGTTGTCCTGTAGCAGGCACCGCCGATGTCGGGGAAACGATCCTCAATACTCCGAAAAGAATCCCACCAGACTACTTTGCCCCTCCAACAGAGGGATGTCCTTGTCCTTTTTCCTTTTCGTCATTTCAAGCGATAAAAACTCTCGATCTTGTCTCGAATTATTAATATTTGTGGACGCCCTTGGCTCGCGTTCAGGGCGTCCCGAGCTGAACAAGGGCGTCAAATGACGGCAAGACGCCCCCCTGGTGGAAACGCTGCTCCCACACACACCCCCCTGCCTGAAACGCCTATGACTTGACTCCTTGTTTACTTCTGTAACATAGTGACATCACTATGTAACACTCATGCTTCTTTTGGCTAGCACTCCAACACATTGTTTGTGATAAGGGGCGGGACCTCTCTAAGAGATGGACCAATCACAACAGAGCCGGCCAGCTAACCAATCGGAGCAGAGGGTGAAAGAGGTGCTGCAGCACAGGCAGTATGAGAACAATAAGCACTCTTTGATCTTTAAGGCAGGTAACAATTTCACAGTAAAGGCACATCATAAATATGAACCAAAAAAATTGGCAATTGTCCCCTTTAATTTATTTTAGGTCATTTATTTTGCTCATCATAATTAGACTGTTAGCTAGTTTAAACTCCAGAAATGCATCATGAAATTAATATTATGCTTTTTTAGTAGTCTCAAAATATAATATAATGCAAATGTAAATGTTTACACTTACAACCACTTACATATCTCCTTATATAAACAGTCATCTGTATCAGTTTGCTCGAGGACTACCAGCTGCAGTGTGAATCATCACTCAAACTTGATGGCAGCACTATCAACAGTCAATTTTGGTTTAGGCATGTACTGATGGCAAGATTTCGGATTATTAGGTTTAAACATTACTTAAACACTCCGAGATGATTATGTATTAAAGAGACCAACCAAAGCGTCTATGGATTAAAGAGGTTAAGTGTTTCCTTACACCTCTAGTCTAGTTCATGCTTTTTTCAAACTAAATTGTGCAGCCTCAAAACATGCAGTCAGGGCTGCTGTGATCTTTTAACCATGAAATTAGATCACTACAGCTCTCAGGTCAGTGTGCACTATGAAGCAGTGACCTCAACACGCATGGTGAACAGAATACAGGGAATTTCAGGCTCCACTTCTGAGTGCTTTTTTTTTACATTAACTCATAATAGTTCAAGTAAATATTGGTGTACTTGTATGTGCAATTCTTTTATAATAAACTGACAGACAGCCACTTCATATGCAGTTCTTTCTCAGCTGAGAGGGAGCCCTCATATGTTTTATCTGTTATGGATAACTGTCACAGTTGAGTTGGATGGAGTTTTAAACTGGCAACAGTAGGAATATGTCTTTACAGTTCCTCCAGGGGGATGTGCATTGACTTTAAGCCACTTGAGATTCACTCATCTGCTAAATGACCATAAACTTACATCATAGAGGATGTTATCCCGCACCCACTCATCCAGTGTTGTAGATCTCTCCAGTGCCAAGGAAATATTGTATTCCTTGTGCAGCCAATCTCAATACAATTCAGTACAAGAGTCACTCACTCATTGCCCCAGTCGAGTCGTACAGTGATGTGCCGCTTGATCTCGCGAGTCTGATCCTGGGCGAGGTGACCCTGGATCAGCTGCCGGCGCAGGTCGATGAGCTCATTCATCACATGACGCAGCTTATGGAATAGATCCACCTTGTGTTTCTGTTGGAGCATCCAAAAAAAGGCTTGGTTAGGATATGTGATCTTCTTCTGCTGCAGCATTTATGTAGAGATTATTCATTTCCCTCTTTAACTACAGCGCTGGACACTGAGAGAAAACAAGAGGTTACTAGCAGATTGTTCTCTGATATCAGACTCTGATGATTTATTATTCAGTCAAAGTAGGATCAAGACAAAAATTATGTTCTAACCACTCCTTGCCAGCCTGTGCAGGTAGCAGAACAAATATGTGATGCTTCTGACATTTAAGTCGCACTGCTATTGTTAATGAAACAAAAATGTTTATTCCCCTTGCAAGGTTGCTTTGACCTCCTCACGGTAATGACTTTCATCGCTATTTGTCGTAAACTAAGGACAACCCTTTTAATTCAGGCATTTTGTGTTCTCCACATTACCACCCAGGTTTGTTTACATAAATGCAAAGATTAAGCGGCACCACATTGCCGATGTAAATTTAATGAGGATAAGCCCTGCATGTTCTCAAAGGCTGCTGGAAAACAAAGATTTTTTTCAGGGTTGATGAGCCCTTTCGGGTGTCTATTCTGCGGGGCTAATTACGTACATTAAAACAGATACACAGTTATGCTTAGGCCATTGCTCCCTGAAGTAATCCCATGAATTGTAATTGGCAACAATAAGGTGAAATGTAACAACATTTAGCCAATGCTACATCCTATTATTATGGATGCAACTGTGGCAACATGGCCCATATCACACAGGGGGTGAGCACCAAAGCGGGTTCTGTTAAATCAGCGCTTCACATTAGTCGGGCTTCAGAGAAAGTTACATCACTACACCAGCGCCTCCGGCTCCTTAGTTGCTCAGAGCATGAGCAGTCCTCAGTGAGAGGTTATGTAAAAACTCGCTGCCAGCTCCGCAATGTATCTACTCAGCTCCAAACTCCAAACCCTACCAACCACTTCTGCCTGCCCCCTCGACACATAGCAGGATTAAGAATGCTTTAGGTTTTCCAGTAATCACTTTTGCCCCGGGAAAGTAAAGGCTGACTGAAGGTGGCGAGCAGAGCTGGATCTTAAGATGATGCACCAACTACGAGAAGGAGGCTTAAATCAATCAATGGCTGAATGACACAGCATGAAATTGCATGCGACAGGTCTGCAGGCCATTATCTGTGGCCACCATTCCTGTTCCTACAGAGATAGTATATGAACATGTAGGCTGGCAGTCAGAACGACATGCTAATGGGAAATATCTAAAAGGGGCTTTCACTGTATGTTAGCACTGTATCTCTTTGGGTTATTCACTATAGTTGATGGTTATACAGGTGTTTAATTAAGTGCAGGGAAGACAAAAACATACTGGAAAAGATTATTCCACCAAAACCCCTAAGGATGATGAAAATGAAACAATGATAGATGCAATTTCTTTTTGTCCCAACTCACTTGCAAATGTGTTAGATTTAGTCTCACATTTATTGCTTGGTGTTTTGTTTCAAGATGACGGCGATGTATTGTAATATAGTGCTACTGACCACATAGAGCTGCTTCCACAAGACCCCCCATTCCTGCAGTGTGGAGGTGGTCTCTGTGATGATGGGGTCCTCCAGGGGCACCACCGTCTCACACAGCCTGCAGCAAAAGAGAAACATGTAGATGAATGTGAGCGTGCACAACGATACAGACGGTTGTTCGGCAGTGATGCAAAGTCGCCGGATGAATTGAGCAGATAGCCAATGCTGAGCTGAGTAACGTTAGTAGAGTACAAGTAACTGATTACTTCTTAAATGTTAAACAAGTAACATGTTGTAATTTTCGCTTGCTCAAAACTGACATAATACCGCAGGCATTAATGTCACAGCTTCAGGCCAGCTTTTAAATTAGTAACAGCAATGAAATGAAAAAGAGAGTAATCTTATGAAGAGTAAGAATATGTTCCCTGGCTGCAGGAGAGGTAGAGCACTTCAGTAAAAAAAACACAACACACATCCTTCCTGTGCGACTACACTCAGAGAAACACTAAACCAAGGTTAATTCTCTAGTGAAACGTTGCTCACTAAGCTCCGGCCTGTTCTGAAAGAATTATCTTTAATACTGTATCATTGATTTTTGCAACAAGGGAAGCATCTCCGTCCATTACACCATGACTCAGGGTTATTGTCTGTGGCACGAACGCTCTGGGAGAACCACAGATATGCAGAAGGTGTGTCACCTCATTAACTCCACGAGACAGCAAAGCACATTTCCCAAAGTGCAACTCCTGGAGCGGGGAGGTATAATAATGTGGATTTCCAAGTGTGCACTTTTAATTGTTTGAGTGGAAACAACAATCCTGCTGCTATGTGGAAGCTCAACTGGGAGATGTAACGGCAAACTCCCAGTCCACACTGAGCCACAGCTCCCAGTCTGCAGGGTTAACCTCCATCAGTTCAGGCTGATAAAGAGATCTGCCGCATGTTTTGTCTTCACTGTTATTATGCCGGCTTTGCGACGGGAACTTTGGATGACCTCCACTGTGTGTGCATTTGTGTGCATGCGTGTGTGAGAGAGCATGCATGTTAACGACTGTCCAATGGAAGTTGTCTTATAGATGAACACATTGATGTATCTGCACTGTGTAATGATTGATAAGAGCTCCTGACTAGTACAGAACAAACAGATATCATTGCTAATATCATCCTTCCTCTATGTGTCAATGGTAGATACGGATCTGTAGAGAAACCACTGCTGATGTTGTCTTTAGTATTTTGAGCTGCACTTCCCTCCTACATAAAATGCTATGTGCTGCAATAAATTCAACAAGCTCTTTTCGTTTTGTTTATGTGTCTACTCAATAATAAACCAATTCAAAGATGATGTAATGTTTCCTGCACGTGCAAAGATGTTCCCTTCACTCTAATCTTAGTGTGACCGACACTGGTTGTAGGGGTTGGTGACATGGATAACATATTCTCTTATGTTGTGTTTACTTTAACATTGTGAGATTAAAGTTTGCCATGATGAAGTACATTAGGTATTATTAAATGTTAAACAAAAGAAGTGGAAAAGACTGGTAAAAAGGATTAATTACCTTACATTTCAATACACTGATATAATTCCTTTAATTCCCGTCAATCCAACTCAAATACAAAGGGCCACATACAATCTATCATATTGAAGGGATTGCTTTATTATCAAACTGCCCACCCAAAACTAGTCTAACTAGTCTGTCTCTGCATGTATTTCAGATTCAGCTTTGCATGTTGGATTGTGTTGACACTGCCACAGTATGTCAATAATTAGTTTATGTAACAACAAATTAGTATTGGTGAGTATATAGATCTTTCCAACATTACCAAATATATGTATTGACATCTGCAACCTTCACCGGAGCACACTAGTGAGTGCACAGACTTTTATTTGCTACTCAGTCTCTTTTGTTTTTTTCATCGTATGTTGGTGCCTGTATGGCGGCGGGGTACATCCATCAAAGTTAGATAAGCGCATCTCTAATTATGACGCCGTGCAAGCTCGACTAAAACATCAAACGACTTACCCTCTGTTGGTCACTGTGGATTTCTTCAAGTGGACATAGCTGACTGGGAAAATCCCCTGTGGACAGAGAGGAGGGAGCAGAGATGTTACCGAGTGTGACAGGATCACGTTCTTAATTCTCCTGCAACATGTAACCAACGTGTACAGTATTGTGTTGTATGTGGTACAATACCTTAAAGTTAAGATACACTTCTGCTGGCCACACATTATATGTTGAAGGAACTGCTAGCTCACTCTTGCATTATATGTTTAGACCATTTTCTGCTCCGCTGTATGCTGACATGCAGAGAATAAATGATACTGCGTGCACACACACACCACAGAGATGATGAGCCCTTTTGTGGCTTGGCTTAGCAGGGGAAGGGCATGAGAGACTGAGTGGTGCCACCCTTGCAGTTCATCTTTCTTATTCTAATCTGCCAGATGTGAAGAATTGGCCACAGTGAGCAAAACTAATTCCTCTCAGCATAGAGAGAGTATGGGGGCGATTGAATGTGGGCAGTAGAGTACATAACAAAATGGAGGGGTGTTAGTAAGAACTGTAAATAGCTGATGAGAGTAGGGAAGGACAGCATGAAGCCACTAACACCTACATTTACCAGGACTGGACAGCTTTTGTGCTTCTTTTAAAACATTACAGCAGCATCACATAACACTTCAGCTTCTGACATTTTATTTTAAAAGTAGACATACGAAATGGCAACAGATTACCTGCTGCTCTTGGGTTTTTTATAATACATCTGGTATTTTTGTTTCTGATAATACGACTGCTTGTGTAATGGCTATTGGGCTCTGTTACAGGTTGTCAAGGACGGAGTCTGTCATAAACAGTTTTTACTGAAGAATCAATCCTATAAGAAGCAGATGTGTCAGTCATATATAATAACCACTTATTGCAGTGCAGAGTATTGATCTCTTTAGGCAGTGATGGGGCTGTATTATTCAGAGTTCTGTACCTATGCTCTTTACTTACTGAGTAGGATTGATCATAATGATGCTGACTGTGAAGTGGATTCAATCTCTCTGTTCTACCCTCCATCTTAACTTTATTTCTGCCTTGATCAAAAATATAACACCACAATAAGTGTGTGCTGCTTCTCTCCTGCAGGAAACACTGAAGAAAACAGTGTATTTAATGTTATGGATTAAAAACCAAATTGGAGTTTTATTTTTATGTATTTTTCAATTGCTTTTTTTTTGCTTAAAAATATGTTTTTAGATCACTAATTGCACCATCTGCTGGCTGAAAAGAAAACCAAATTGAGATGTTTTAGAAGATGCTGCACAGGAGAGAAAACAGCAGAGTGGTAATACAGCACACAGAGTGGTGGCTCCATGGTGCTATTCTGGGATGCTATTCTGTAAATGGCCATTGTACAAAAATAAAATAAATGATAGAGGTGGCGTCGGCCTCAAACCAAGGTTGGATTAATTGTATCTTTTCTTGTCTCTGTATTTGTCGTGTATATTTTATTTTTGTAAATAACATCTTGAAGACGACCCTCCAATTAGTCTTAGTGTTTATATGATATGAAGTCAGAACATCTTGGTTAAACATGTGTCTATGAAAAGCACATTTTGAAAAACAGGTCAGGAGATTTCTATTTTTGTCAAACAAAGCTCCATTCAATAAGTTAATCAGTCATTAATGTCTTTGTTGTCTAGACAAAGTTATTTTTGGGATGCACATCTCTCATGTCACATTATCATTCACAAAAATGCATTAGTCTCTATCAAATAAAAGCTTCACGTGGAGACCACTCTGTATTACAAAGAGACCAGTTGGCGATTCTTAATGTGTTTATTTAAATATGTGTTAACTTTACTATGATTACTGGCTTTCCAACAACTTATTCAGTTTGCTGCACTACAGTACAAGGTTGTGTCTTAAGTCCAAATAGATCTTTGTATTTTGAGTCTGTACTTCAAGTATGCCAGTTTTGCTCACATATTCAAAATGCTGAGAACTGTAAGTAGCCTGCAGGAACTAACCCAATCTCCAACCAGTCATTTTTGAACGGTGTTATAATTACCTTGATAGAAGGCTTCTTGGTGGAAAAGCCTCTGTACCATCCTAAAGGAAGAGCAAAATTCACATTAGAAAACCTTGCTACATCACAATGAAACACATTGTAAAGAAAGATGTGCCATTACTTTTTACCTTCATTGAACTTGTACTCGAGATGTTAATCTGAATGTAATTCATTACCGTTTTAACTTTGCTAGCTAACTTACTTGCTTAAAAATAATTATACTAACTGTTATATTGACTGTTTTGTCATTTTATTGGTCATGAAATGGTAAAGAAATGCGTGAAATCAGTTCTGTAAGCCTATTTAGCAGTTAGTATGGTGGATCACCAGGTATAGGGCTGTATTGAACAAAAAGTGATATCATCATTTCCCAAAAAAGTTACATAATCCGCCCTGTATGTTAGGATTTTATTTTGTGTTAGCTTCAGTGAATCCTTCTTTTGGTTTGATGGTGCAGTTTATTTTTAGGTCAAGATCTGGAAATCAATAACTGCTTATAATAACTGCTTTACTAGACTCTATTTTCCATAACATACTGTAAGCAGAAAAGTGTCTAACAGGACTCTCTCAAGAGATTTATTAGCAAATATGGACCTGTGAAATTAAGTCTTTTCAACATGATGGTTTGAATGGTGTTTCAAAGCCTACTTCTATGATTAACCTTCGATCTGGCACAGAAAAACAGAATGCTTTCATTTCTTTATTTCACTTAAAAGTAATCACATTTAAACACTGTGTCTAGATTTGTTTTTACTTTAGTATGCAGATTTATTCAGTCCCATATAAAATACTAAGAAAGAAGGACCCTTAGGCCTTAGTGAACATGACCACCACACAATACTTTAGGCACATGATATCTTTCTGCAGTACAGATCTGATTGTTATTTACAATCAAACACAATCATTTGGGCGTGATTGCTTTTACCTTCACTCTTCTCCAAAATCTGTACAGTTTCCCCAATCTCCAGGACTAAGGCCTGACATGTTGATGACCGGAAGTTGCAGATCACTGGAAAGAGAAAAACAATCATGAGACAACAGTGATGAGAACAAACATTTGACCTGATTTGACTGTGATGTATTTTTGTATACAACATATATTCTTTGTGTCATTTTTGTGACCTCTGATTAAGCAAGGGGCCTCTTTTAGACTTGTGGGTCTCTATCTAATGTATAAAGTCTCCGCACAGCATGTCTTTTTGGGTTGAAGCGGGACTTTTAATAAGCTGTTAAACACAAACATCTAAACTCGCTGACACACAGGAACCACTGCTTAGCAAACTGTAAACAAGCTCCCACCCTGAAGTGGGTAGTCATTTTAATAAGCAATTAATTCTTAAGCGGCCTGATTTTTGTGGAATGTTAAGTTAATTGAACTGTCTCCCAAAATAGAGCCCACACAATCTGCTAAGTAGTAAACGCTGCTTTATCATAAGTCGGTATTAGCATAATAAATCTTCCAAGCCACCCGCTTTTGCAGCATCATGCAGTCTTTGACCGTACACAGAAACTTATTGTGACTCAAACACTGATTAAGAACATGATTATTCCTCAGGGGACGGATGCCACAGTAAAGACTTTCACAATGGGATGGCCTCTGGAGACAGTTCTTTTTTAATCTCTGCATCTATGTAACATACAGGCCTCAGTAAAGGCAAACTTGTTTAACTACGACAGGGCTCCACTGATGATTTTAAACCTACAAATGGTGGCCCTTCGAGGGGAGTTTGGTGTGAATCATTATGCTAATGAACTAGCCAGGGGACCCAGTGAGGGGGAGGAAGAGGAGGAGGGGCTTGGGCTCGGCTCAGTTGCCTGTTTGAGGGTAACGAGTGCTCAGTTCCTGTGCTCGGGTAACTATGGCAACAGATCATCTACAAACTGGAGGGCTTTCTTCACTGTAACTGCTGCGGGGATCTGGGCATTTTTAAATGGCGAAGCTTATGGATGCTGCATGGCGCTAGAGTTCAAGTCAAGCGTATTAGGCATGTATTAGAGTCAGAGAGATGGATAGACTTAAGAGAGCCTCCTTGTCACCTTTTGCCTCTGGCTGGGGCTCTTTTCCAGCCAAGGCTAAGTATTGCCTATTTTAGAGTGCTATTCTTTAATGGCCTCTATTTCATTTGAATTGCAAAACCTGCACTCACACCATTTTAAAACTCTTTAGCGGAGGCCATGTCAGAACAAGATGAGCTTGTCATGTTCGAGAGGGATGGGCGCATCAAGCAGACTCATATTTCCATAGTCCACCCTCACAAAACCTCCAAGCTGTGTAAACACTCTTTCAAAGCTTCAGAGTATTAGCATATCCACAAAACAAAAAAAACAAGAAAATGCATCTTTTTATACTTCAACATGTTGAACGTAGGATGTTGGAAGGACTGATGGGACAGGCAGTGGAAATGTTGGCAAAAGCAAACATTTCTGCTGAGCAACATAATATCAGTCCAGACTGTCCCTCGATTTAGTTGCATATAGTCCACATGGCATCTTAAGGCTGCTATTGTGTAACCACAAACTCACTGGTAGGAATTATGGAGCTTAAGCACAGCAGGAGACTCCTGCTGTGCTCCACTCTCCTCACACCTCGCCACCTCTCCATTGTTCCATGTATCACAGATATATACGTTTACTCATCCATACCTCTATTAGCAACTGCATCTATTCACTCATTTAATATCAGATGTTCGGTTTTAGGGGCATGACTGCTTTTTTTAAATCCTATTTTTTCCCACTCGACCAAGTTGTTTGTAAAGAAGAAGGAAAAATACATGTTTTTGTATCTTCTGGCTGGCGAAAATGTTGATGGCAGCAAAGAGATGCAATGCATTTTCATAAATAAATATCAGGCTAGGCAAATATATAAAGACCAAAACCAAGGAAATAGCTAAATAATTCTCCAGAAAAGTAGAAGAATTACAACTTATAGCCAGACAGGTTTACTTATGAAGTTTAAAAGGGTGATTCATTTAAATGCTAGATTTAATTAATGGTAATAGTTGTCGACGGGCAAAATATAAACTCAAATCTCTCAGTTATTCTTCAGATAACATTTTAGATAACAGCCTGGAAACAGTCTCTTAAGAATCTTAAGTTGGTGTAAAGTCAGAACAGACGCTGGAGTTTATTTTCCATAACAGCACCTAATTACTACCACTGCCATCTCCTGAAGAAAAAAACAAGTTATCATTCTGGATTTAATTACGCAGAAGTTATGACATTCAAGCGCTGAAGTTTACACTATTTATGGTATCACTTTGGTCACCTAATACTGAGAATAGTAGAAGAAAATGCACCCAATGAGTATCAAGCCTCATAGTAAAAAGCATTAGACTCAGGAGACCACAGATATACTGGTGCACAAAATACCTTTTAAAATCAGCCTGAGTGAGAATTAAGAAAGCTCTTCCTCTGTTGTGCCTTATTTTCTAAGTTGCCGCTCTTCACCAGCAGTAATGCCTAAAATGCCCATAAGTGAAAACTAACACCCTCACCTTGTTAATAGAATCCTGCAGTGTTACGATGTAAAAAGAGCTGTTATGTGATGATTGCAAGAAGAATGTGGCAATTCAAGGATCTCATTTGTGCAGCAACATTCTCTTAAACGTCTCTTATATCTTCTCTTCATATTCTGTTAAAGGGGCCCTACAATGATTTTTAGGGGTTTCCCTTTCCTCTAGTGTGTGGTATAGGTCTTTGTGCATGTTAATGGGCTGCAAAGGCTAAATACCCAAAGTTATCTCCAGAGGGAGTTTCTCTCCCACACACTCCCCCTCTGCCTGAAACGCCTCCATTGGACTCCTTTGTTTACTTCCGCAACATAGTGACATCGCTATATAACACTCGCACTTCTATTGGCTGGCGCTCGAAACACATTGTGCGTGAAAGGCTAGGGGACGGGACTTCTCTAAGAGGTTGACCAATCAAAACAGAGCCGGCCAGCTAACCAATCAGAGCAGACTGGGCTCTGGTTTAAGACAGAGGGTGAAAAGAGGAGGTTTTTGAACATTAAAGCATGTAAACATGTCAGAGTAGAGGTAAAAAAATACAAATATGATCCTGACAGAACATTTTCTGTAGAAATCCAGTCTCCATGTACCCAAGCCCCTCTGTATGACGTTGACCTTTGACCTATTTGTCTTGTGTTCCACTCTCCTGTTTCCTGTCATTGTTATGGTCAACTCCAATATGTAAGCTATCAACAAAAACATCTATTGTTCTTTTACAGCGGATGAGGGAGACATGTATCACCTTCCAGCGTTAATATCTGTACTTGCCGACATGTCTTGAAAAATGTTTTTCCTCTATATGTAATATAGCGAAGATTAGCGCACAGCATGAATGGCCTGATGACCTTGTGTTAGAATCAGCGAGAGACACATAGAGTTCCTAACTGTACAATGGTCCACAGGGGAGACATATTCTGCAGAGAGTGAAGATGCCATCAAAAACCTGCCAGTAAACATTATTATGGATTATAAACGCTCTGCTTTTTCAAAACAACTGAGTGATAAATGGGGACCACTGTGCTGAGAAATATTATTATTAAAAAAGACACTGTGCTCATCTTAAATGCAGCACTGAAAACTCTTTGATTTTTCTATTCTCTTTTAGTTCCAGCCTAATTCATGATTGGTACATCTGAAGCCTAACTGCTTACCGAGTGGATCCTTCAACCATTTCAGTAATGCAATGTGAGTATGAAGGCCTGCTTGAGTAGTTCTGTCCCAGATCCAGCAAAGTTCAAATGTACACAACAGTCTTTGGGTTTCGCCCACTGAGTCATGTTGTTCAGCACGACTTATATGCAGACTCCCTTACTCAGACACATTACTGCGCCGAAGTATTGCTAACCTAGGGATTTCTGCCACAGAGGCAGAGGAGCATTTTACCGTATCGGATCCCAAACCAGTGTCACAGAATAAAGGCACGCTACTCAGCTGCAGGGGTCTGTGTAGCCGCAAGATGACGACCTCAAAACACTTGAAATGGCCATCAACATGTTCACACATGCAACAATAGGTATACTTGAATGGTTTTAAGTGCAGTTAAGGAACAGAAAACGACAGTACTAAGGAGATTTGTAAATCAGTGCCCATGATGAATCCAAAAGTGCTCACCGAAATCAAGCTAAAATCATGGCTACTTTGGGCTACATTAATCTCTCTAATCCCACTCTCAGTTGAACATTAGCTCCATCTTTTGTTCTCTCCTGAACACGTTTGATCCTCGATCTGTCCATTTCAGATAATGGTGGCCTAGCCCGCTAGATTATTTCATGTTACTGCTACAGTAGTTTGTGCCCGAGACACGTTCATGTGGCTACATAATTGTTTCGCTCTCTCTCTTTCTCATGTGGGCAGGTACTGGCTTACAGTCAGAGAGATCTCTCCAATAGAAGTGTTAAGACTCTTGCAATACCTCTGGTTATATGAGAGAAATCCATTAGTGACTCATTTGCAAATAAAAAGTCATTTTAAAAAGACTGGACCGAGGATCGATTTAATTTTTTTAATCTATTGTAATGTTAACCTCCCACATTGTGTTTTTGATTTTAAAATTAGCATTTTCCTTGGGGTACAACATTTTTACAAATGTGTTATTAAATAAGGCAGAAAAAGTAGGTATAAATTAGTTGGTGATTTAAATAATTTAAGAAAATTAAGTGCAGTTGCGGAGTGGAAAGAGCCGGGCAACCCTACAGTACATTGAAATCCAGGTCTATGCTGCCACTATGCAAGTGATTTACAAACTTATATTAGTTCCTGCATAAACAAAGAAAATAATGAATAGGCAACAATTCGAAGAAAGGCATTAACATTTCATGAGGTGGTCTCCAACTGTTTCCTGTTTAGACGGAGCCCATTAAAAATAGAACAGAAAATAAAGGCCTGGGTTGCTGCTAAAGATCACGGCTCAGGTTCATATTGGTGTATGGCATTATTGGTGAGAGACAATTTACAGGCAGGGACAAAATAAGCAAAGATAATGGGGAAATGTGCAAAATGGTGCTAATAACAGAGGAGTCAGGAGGAGAGGAGAAAACGGACTGTACTGCCAGTTAACATGTGTGATTTTGAACCTAGTATGTCAACACGTTCTCTCAGGCGAAGGGGGAAATTGTAGCAGAGTAATGTGGGCTGCTGTTACAATGTACAGTATGTACTGTGTAGGTTCAAGGCGCTTTGCCTCCCCGCATTTCAGCACCATGGACAGCGCCAGGTCACTCCACTGCTGCGGAGGCTGCGGAGAACTGTTGCTTCCCCTCACTTCCTCTCTGTTAAAACCCCGATATATTTGCGCAAAGAAAAAAAAACACCTGCAGTGAATCTGTGATGGAGCAATGGATGCGTGGAAGGAAAAAAAAAAACACAAACGACTGAATGCGATAAGATGATTACTGTACAGCCACAACAAGAGCCGATATTATGGTGGATTGCCATTTGGGTCTCTCATCCTGCGGTCTTTATGAAACGATGATGACAAATGTAATGCCTCCAAACAAAAGTGTATATGTGTGGGCGTTTTATATGAGGGGGGGTATCATGTGCAAGCCAGCACGAGTAACAGCTGTAGAGCATCTGGAAATGACTCATTCCCCTATTGAAAACCTAGGATAATCACAGCTATAGACACCTTGGCCGTGGCAGTCCCTTAATGATGACCGTGTGGTGTCTCATGGCGTAATTGTTGCCTATTCTATTGGAGACTTGATTGTAAACAGCTCGCTTTGATTTGTTTTCGTCCATAAACAGCTAATCTGATGTTGCACTTTCACCTTTCCCTCTGGGTCAAAGTGCACACATGCAGGGATGAAATGTGGTATTTGTTACAGCGCAGTCCCTTGCAGCAGCAGCATTAGGGCTGATGTCTTCCTACAGGTAGACTCCGGCTCCACTCCACCAACCTACACCTGTTGGAGGGACGCAGTCACGATGCCCCCTCGTGGTTTCAACACGAATCGTTTTTTCCCCTCTTCCCCCTCCAGATATGCTCATAAGAATAAAGGCTAAAATGCTACACTGACGCATTTTCTTATTTATTTTTATATATATAAAAAACACACAACCAAGAGTAAGAGCCGGATCTAAAGCACCGCCTGCGGTTGTGTATAGACTGCGATAGCATCTTTAAGGTGGTGGGCTGTAGGCTGTATCATCCCACGCAATTTCCCTTTCAATGCAGTCACTGGCCGTGTATATCAGCCATTACAAGTGTGTGTGTGTTTTTCATTGGGTGTAATAGGCATAATAAGAGGGGAAATGGTCTGGATAGCCTATGCGGGGTGTCGATGAACACACATTGGGTGTTTCTCGTGGAAAAACTGTCATCACAGCGCTGTATTAATAAAGTCAATTAAAATAAGATAAATAAAAAAAAAACATCATTAGATAATCAATATAGGATGCAATTGACTTACCAACTCCGATTTTCTCCTCTTCTGTAGGTATCCACATATTTGGTTATTTTCCCTCCGGTAGAGAAAGCCACATTATGTCGATATCGTGAGATGATGCTGCTAGAAAATGAGAGCTGAAGGCTACAAATGATCCTGGCTGCTCAAACATGGGACTACATGTCTCGACCGAAATCTCTGTCCTGGAGTCTGTGTGTGTGCAGGGGAGAGGAAGGACCATGAAAGCACCGATATCTCCTCTCTATTATGTTCCGGCGTGTATCTCCAGTCTGATGCAGTCTCCGTGTCCACCTAATGTAACGCGCACACACACACACATACACACTCGCGCAGGCAGGCACGAACGCTCGCACGCACACGGTGAGCGGTTTTCTCGTCTCCAGTAAAAAGGTGTTATTGCAGCCGAATTTAAAGTAGAACAAAGATGCTTCTTTTCCTCGAAGATTATTTATTTAATTTCTTAGTTTTTTCTCTCTTCTCCTTTTTTCCTCAGCCAATCGCTCAGCTGCAGATGATCCGGCTGCTCAGGCAGCGCGCACAATCGATCGGTAATTAGGAGGTAATAGGTCGCGATATCGTTCCGCGGTCAGAACTGTCGAGCTGCTGCAAGAAAATACTGAGAAAGCTGCAATATACCATAAGCTGCGCCATCTTCATGGTCGTCACATGACTCGTTTTGTCAACACTGATGTGTCAAGCATTTGCAAATATATGCGCCCTCTCTCTCTCTCTCTCTCTGCATGGCAGTTGCATCCATCACAAACAGCATTTTCTTCTGCTAGTAAGCTGGCTGGCAGTCTGCCTTTTTTTGATTGGATGCATAGCTTTGGGGGTTGTTGGCCATAAAGTAGCTCCCGGTGTTACGAATAAGACCATGTGGGGAAGCACCTCCTGGTTGAGTCATTTCAAAGAAACAGACCCACTACCGGTGATGCTTTGTCATAGTGCAGTCATGCTCCCACACTGATGGGATGCAACTAATTCCTAAAGGCCACTTTTCCCTTTGGATTTGATTGATAGGTTGGACAAACAGTGGATTTCTCTTTAGACCTACATCACACGACAACAGGCTGCTTTATAAATGACATTCACCTAAAATAAACGATGGATTTTGAAAAAATACAAATGCATGTTGTGGATTAATGAGCTGTTAACATGATGTGTGGATATGACCTTGATCCGAGTTCAGACACATCTGCTACAATCATCTGCATGTAGTGTTTTCTTCTTCTGAATTTAATATGAAGATTCAGTTCGGTAGGCTACTTAAATTGAGTACGTTTTTTGTATACTGTACATTATATGTATATTTTTTTGAATATATTTCCACATGTGATGGTCTAAGTTATTTGTAAGTCTCCAAAATGTTTTGAAGAACATTCTGGTGGGAAGGAAGTTGTGAACTGTCTCGATATTAACTTGTTCATCTTTTGTTGTCTTAAAACTAAAATAAATACTGTATTCGGCCTTAAGCTCTCACCACATGTTGCCAGATACGAGGAAACAAGTTGTTTGTAAGGTTTGACTTCTAATGACATACTGTATACCGGATGTGATGCAATGAATTTAGTTGAGTTGACTTTATGGCGTAGTAAGTGAGTCACTGCTGGTAAAACAGTCTGTGGGGAAATGAACATGATGCATTCACTTCGCTCTGAAGCTTAAACCTGCACAGTTAATACGTACCAAAGTGACCTAATTATTCCAGTAAGGCATATAACATCCTATCCTTATATTTGTGAACGTTCCAGGAACGCAATTTATGTTCTGCGTTGAAAATGACCCTCTGTCCCCCCCGAGACCTTGATTTAAACATGTGAACAACAGCATGATGTGGAAAGAGAACATAGAGGCTGATGTTTTAAATCAGATGGATAAACAGTTTTTTTCCTAAAACATTTGTTATACAGTATCTCACCCATTGCTCAATGCACGTCTGGTCCATTCAGTGCATTAAGCTGTCATGTCCTATACACAAGGCCATCATGAGTAGAAAAATAGAGTGATTTGGTGAATATTGAGCGTCCAGTGAGTTTGATGTAGTGTGGGAGGGAGGGCAGTATTCAGCAGGGTAATTTCTCTCCATCATAGCGACGCTGTGACTGACTCCCATCTGTCTATTACTTCAAGTGGAACACTGTGGGCGGTGTTCCACTCACATACATAAAGCTGAAGGAGAGTGGGGCGTTTTGAAAGCTAAATATGCATCCCAGCTAATAAACATTTGAGAGAAAATATAAAACGTACAAAATAACAAGCAACTATCCTTGCTGAAAATCTGGTTAGGTGACACTACAGCATACTTGTTAAAGCTGGCACAAAGGACATATTATATAATTAAAGATTTGAAAAGGCCTCATGCACTTGTCATTTTCTGACAACATTACACTTGCTCAGCTATGAGCAGAGGCTACATTTAGCTGCTGCTCTGATGCAGCAGCACAGGACGAGACACCGGTCCCCTGCAAACAGGGATTGCCTAATACATCTATACAGCTATCTGTTTCTACACTCCCAAAGCTAGCAGGCAATAAGAGCCAGCCGAGGAGGTAATAAGAAGCACGGCCTACCAACTCATCCATCACCTGCAAACACACAAACACACACATTCTTATTTCTTTACTCTTCTCAGGATCATACATTTCATGCGCTCGCTGTACAAACAATCACTGTCTGTACACATGGACACACACAAGCTCAATTTAGAAAACATATTTGATCCTATTTTAATGTGGTGTTTTTTAAATGGGTCTTGTGACTATTTTAATAAGATCTATTAATAACTGTGGGGGAGGCAACGGGAACATTTAGTGGCAAATCCCTGCATGCACCATTCAACCATCAAGTGACCTGAATAATGTCACGTTATTGTAAATGTAAGGTATCTTAACACTTAAAGGGCAATAAAGATATCATTATTTACATGGAAAGATATGAAACATAACAAATATATGATTGAAATGTATATGCAAACTCAGCTGCTGGTAATTATTAAAGCAAAAGTCAACTGTCATAGTTTCTTTATAAAAAAACGCCAGGTAAACTGTACCCTCATTTTATTGGACGTAATTTAACGTAACTAGATTGTTATATAGACTATGATTTTTGCCTTAATGGTCAATTAAAATATTATCATAACCTCTATCTAATAAGGTAATTCAGTTTTGCAAGAGAGACCCGAGTACAGCAGGAGAAATCGAGCAGATAAGACACAAACCGAAAAAAGCCTGTCACACAAAAACACGTTACATCTCTACAATAAAACAGAAAAAAGTAAACCTATCCAATTGGACCAGACTTTTAGGTGCTTACGTCCTTTGTAATTAATTCCAATTATTTGGGCCAAGCACTTGAAGGCTGCTCCGTCTAGTATTTACTCGAGCTCTATCAAGTGCTAGCCAGTCCTGTGATCTGGCCTGATGAACAGTAGCTATCATTTGAGACGAGATGTGATTGGTGGATACATTTACAAACAGTAGTATGGTGTAGTTTTAGCATGAATGTGCAGGATATCTTCATTGTCAAGCACAGACATGACGGTAAAATATAGGAAACCCAATTTGTATTTAGCGATTCTGTGCCAACTATGGCATATGAGTAAGAGTGCTAACTAAGCAAATTCCCTTATACTTCAATTTCAGACGTTTAAGTAGATGGACATGGTTTAATTTAAAGATGAGCCATGTAGGAATTCATAAAACTGTGTCATCTGCACATGTCTTGATGCATTGAGAGAAGCGTGGCCGGCTGATCTGAAAGTACATTTTACAGCTGAGTGCTCAGATATATTCTCAATATTACACTCCAATATGTACCGGCCATGGCCTGATTCAATTTAAGGCGGCACACAGACTTCATCTGTCTAAAGTGTGAGTGTTTCCATCTATTGATGATTCTTGTAATGTATTTAAAATTCCACGGTGAAACAAAATAATATATTTGGCTTTTCTAACTTTCAGGTTACTGGTCCTCCATTTTTTATGTTGTATCTAAGATACTAGAAAAATGAATATATCCAAATCCTCTTACAGACAATTCTTTGGTATCCAATGTCAATCATCATAATCTAAAATAGTAATTGATTATGACATTTACTCAGTAGGTTTTTGTGGTTTTATATATATATATATTTATTAAAAAAAAAAAATGTGGGGGGGGGGGAAATCACCTTATTATACTTGATTTTGTTTATCGGTCCGTTTCATTGGGGAGAAAAAAAGCAAATTAAATAGTTTTGCTGCATTTTGTATACATTTTTTTTTTTTTTAATGTGAAAACTAATAAAGTGGGGAGATATGAATCACCATCTGCATAAAATATTATAATACTGTATTTGAATAGAATGATGTCTATTAATTGAAAATATTAATGAACAAAGAAAGAATCTGTATCGCATGTATTTGGTCATTTAGAGGGGGGTTTGATGTGAGACTTAGTACAGATTGATTCTTCTATCAGTTCAAAGTTCCTTCAAGTTGAAAAGATTGACCTAACCGCTGCCCATGCTTGAAGAGACCTGATGTTCTGATGAAGTTTGTGTGTTATTTTGACCCTGATATCGGCACCAGTTTCAGCATTCACTTCTTCCTTTTTCACAAATGTTTTACCCACCTCCGGTATAACAGCTTATTATTGTCTACTGCCTGTGAGCATCATGCACATGTCATTAAAAGAAGCACACAAAGATAATTTTGCGGCTTTATTTATAGTAAAAATACTTTAGATACATACAAGCTGTACATAAACTGTTTGAGGAAAACATCACAGTCTTCTTATGGAAAAGAAAACAGGTAAAATGCACTGATACAAGGCAAAGAACATGAGAATCAATGTTTGCAGTGCTTTCAAAAAAGTGTGCAAGTGAAAGGCATTTGTTTCCACAATGTTAAGTTTGAAGCTTCCTGTCACTCCACCCAGAAAAAAATAACATTTGAAAGGAAAATATTTAGCTGAATTCTACCACCATCTGTTATTTCCCAAGTATTTATTTTCTCAAGATTTAGCTAAGTCGATTTTATCCCGTAACATAAGATTAAGTAA